TTTTCACTGTTTTGGCCAGTGTATCAATGGCCCTCCTGGTTCTGCTCCTTTCACTCTGCGTCAGTTCACAGAAGTCCTCCCAGGCTTCTCAGAAACTGTTTCTTTAATTTCTTACGGCAAAACAGTATTCCACTAACATACATTATATAGTTTGTCCAGCCATTCCTCAATTGATGGCGAACACTTTGTTTCTAGTTCTCTGCTACAATAGAAAGTGCCTCTGTGAATATTTTTGGACATATGGTTCCCTCTGTCTCAGGCTCTTCAGGGCTTGTACCAACTGGTGGTAACCACTGAATCAAAGGGTATAAGCGAGTTGAGTGGCTTTTTGAGTTGGTTCTCGATTTTCACCAACATTCACTTCCCTTATCCTGACCTGGAGAGATGGAAGCTAAGGGCAGAGTATATGATAAAGAACATAAGCTGGGGCAGAGGATGGAGCTGTGGAGGCCCTGGGAGAGCCAATGGAAGGGCAGGGAGGGCAGAGAAATGCCCTGGGCCTCTTGCATGGAGATGTTGCCTTTCGATACGAACTTGGTCTTCAGATTCTGAGCTCACTGTTGTCGCCTCCTTGGTAGGTACGCAGTACTGTGTGGTCAGCTGGCTGAGCATGAAGGCATCCAGAGACGCATCCAGAGCGGCTATATCTTCAAGGTAAGAAATAAATTCTCTCTCCCCCTCTAGAAATCATACCTCAGTGAGGCCCTGGCTGCCTCCCTGTGCTTCTGACATCTACCCTGTCTTCTCAGAGACCTAGATATTCCCCTAGGTTTCTGGGTTTGGCCCATTCAGATCTGATTTGTAACTGCTTTTTCTCCTCCCCAGGATCATATAGATAGAGCTATTGCCCTCCAGCCAGACAACCCCAAGTCTTACTTCCTCCTTGGAAGATGGTGCTACCAGGTGAGTCCCTTCTAGGGCCTTCGGTCACCTTAGGAGGCCATAACCTGGGCCAGTCGAGTTGCCTTTTTCTTTTGAGGAATTCATGAGTCTGTAGAATGGCGGTAAATACTGAATGAATGAATGAATGAAAAGGCACTGATTATGCACTCAGCATAATCATCATAAGAGGTTATGTGTGCTTGTCTCAGGTTGCAGGGGCATGGGTTCTGACCATCCTCTCCTTGCTCAGCTTAGTTATAATTTGTTATTTTGGTGGCAGGTGTCTCATCTGACTTGGCTAGAGAAGAAGACTGCTGGAGCCTTGTTTGAGAGCCCTCCCAGTGCCACTGTCCATGATGCTCTGCAGAGCTTTCTGAAGGTATCAAGAGAGGAGAGGAGGACAGAGGGAGGGAGCAGGAAGGTTGTCAGTGGGTGCAGAGGATTCCTTGATAGGTAGGAGGAGAGCCAGTGTGGTCAGCCTTGTGGTTTCCCATCCTAATGTGGGAGACAGATGGCCTTGTTCTGATCTGGTGTCTTCCAAGGGGGGCTGGGAAGGGATTCAGAGGCTTCCTTCTTGACGTCAGGGACTCTTAATGGAGGTTTGGCTTGAAGTTGTCTTCTGGAGGGGCCAAATTGACCCTCTTATTGACCCAGTTGTCTCCTTTCTTAAGGCAGAAGAACTAAGTCCTGGGTTTTCCAAAGCTGGAAGGGTGTACATCTCTAAGGTAACATGATAACCTTTTTGTGTTTAAAAATATATTTGATGCCTTTTGTCTTCACATTATACTAATTTTCAGGGAACCTTTCCTTATAACCAGAAACAGTTAAACACAACACTCACTAACAATGTAGACAGTTTCCTGTCCTAATAGGAGTTTGCCTCTTTGCCATCAGGTCAGTAGGTTTCTCCAGGACCATCAGTCGTTTACTCAGTTTGTCTTCTGTGTTGTTCTTTTGGTTCTGCTTGTTTTATTGTTATCAGATTTTTTTCCCCCAAGATTTTTTTTTTTAGGTAATTGGGGTTAAGTGACTTGCCCAAAGTCACACAGAGGCTGGATTTGAACTCAGGTCCTCCTGACTTCAGGGCTGGTGCTCTATCCACTGCGCTGTCTAGCTGCCCCTTATTGTATCAGTTCTTAACCAATCATTCTATTCTCTGAATTTCTTGTCATATTTTGTATTGTACAATAGTCTTTCACATTTACAAGATCATAGATTTCAACATTATCTGGCCCCAAAGGACTAGCAATTCCCGTTGTCCTCATTTCATTTTTGACCAAGGCAGGTTAAGATGCTTGGCTGAGGTCCAGTTGCTCCCTTTTACCTCTAGAACCCAAATAAAAACTCTGGTTTGGCATTGAGGGCTCACCACCTGGCCCCCTTCCTGCCTTGTCAGTCACACACACACACACATTTCTCCTGCTAGTTCACGCTGTCATCCAGATCCAGCCAAGCCCCTTTACATGCACACCTTCCCCATCTCCTGACCCTTTGCCTTTGGACTGGCCGTGCCCCATGCCTGGAACGTACTCCCTCCTTGTCTCTGTTCTTCAGAATCTCTGGTTTCCTTTAGGACTCAGCTTTCTCCATAAAGTCTTTCCTGATTCCTATCCACACTAACCCCCAGCTGCTCATGCTGCCCCTCCTCAAACCACCCTGTATGTATGTACTGTGTTTGTGTGCTCATGTTTCCTCTGGTAAAATGTAAGCTCACTAAGCACGGGGACTGTTTGGTTTTTCAGCACTTAGCATAGTGCCCGGAACACAGTAGGAGCTTATTAATGGATTAGATAAGTTGGAAGTCCATCCCAAGTCCTGTGCCTCCAAAGCCAGCACTCTCTTTGTTGCATTATGCTTAAGGATCAGCAAGGTGGAGAATATGAGCCCACAGCAGGATCAGTGCACAGGGAAGGGGGCTCAGACTAGAAGTTTCAGGGAGGACAAGGAGCAAATTTGGGAGTGAGGTAATGGGAGACAGACATGGAAGGACAAAAGATTATGGTCAGAGTCCTAGCAAAGTTATATTACTGAAGATCCTAGGTTCTCAATTTTTATGGAGCAGCTTTGGTATTTCAGCCATTCCCCCATCAGTAGGCACCTACTTTGGTTTTTTTTGCTACCACCATTAGTACTGCTATGGATGTTTTCATGTAGATTAGACCTTTGGTTTCTGTCTTTGACCAGTATATGCCCAGGAGTCCCATTACTGGGTCAAAGGGTAGGTACAGTTTGGTAACTGTGCATCTGAATCACGTGCCTGTCATACATACACGGCAAGAGGTAACTCTGAGGACTGCAGCGGCTGATTAAAGGAGCATTAACATGACAACCTTGATTCTCCAGCATCACTCTGTACTTTCTTTATGCACTTAATATCAAGTCAGATCAGCTTATACGAACGGCACTTTGCAAACCTTCAAGCTTCAAGTAAAGGCTATTATTAATGATAATAATGATATCCTTGAATTTAGAATTCAGATTAAAAAATGATTGTTAAATTTTTTTACATGTATTTGGGAAATATGTAATGAAATAAAAAATTAATTGAAAGATAATATCCTCCATTTTGTTTTACAGTAGTAAATATGTAAGATTTACCTCCAACCCCTGCCCCCCAGTCTTCGTCTCAGAGGAGATAGAAGACTGTCTTATCTTTTCCCTTGTCATTTAGTGTAGTGTTCTGCACATACCTAAAGAAGTTGAACCTTCAACTTGAGTTAGTGGCATATGTCCTTTTCCCTAGTTCCTATTCAGGCTCCTAGTATTTGTTAGTGAGGGCAGCTAGATGGCACAGTGGATAAAATGCCAGGCCTGGAGTCGGAAAGATTTATCTTCCTGAGTTTAGATCTGACCTCAGATACTTGCTATGCAAACCTGGGCAAGCTACTTAACCTGTTTGCCTGTTTCCTCACTTGTAAAATGAGCTGGAAAAGGAATTAGCAAACCACTCCAGTATCTCTGTCAAGAAAACCCCAAAGGGGGTCATGAAGAATGACATGACTGAAAAAGACTGAACAACATCCTTTAATGATGGTCACTGTTATCTTTTTTCTAGTGCTACAAGGAGCTAGGGAACAACTCTGAAGCTGGGCAGTGGATGAAGCTGGCCTTGGAGCTGCCAGATGTCACTAATGAGGTAGCTATCCAGAGCTATTCTGGAATCTCATAGCTCTGTTCATTCAGGGGTGGGGAACCTTCAGCCAGAGGCCCCCTGTGGCTCTCTAGGTCCTGAAGTGCAGCCCTTTGACTGAATCCAGACTTCACAAAACAAATGCCCTTAATAAAAGGATTTGTTCTCTGAAACTTGGACTCAGTTAAAAGGCCACACCTGAGGACCTGGAGGGCCACAGGTGGCCTCGAGGCCGCAGGTTCCCCGTGTCTCCTGAGCTTCATTTGTTTAGACTGGGACTGGGAAACTGTCCTGAGCTCTCAGGAACACAGATGTCAGACCTCTTCTGGCTTCTGACCTTAGCAGCATTATTGGCCTGATGTTAGGACTTGAACAAATCTGTTCCTTTTCAATGCCATACTTTCCCTAGGAAGTACATACAGTACCTTCCTCCTCATATTAATGTATGGGGAAGATAACCTATTTAACAGTGTATTCTTTATCCTTAGGCTAACTTAAGCAATGATGAGTGCTAAGAAGTCATGAAAATATGGTTTGGGAGAGATATCGATGGGACAGGCCTCTAGCCTGTCTCATTCTGTTCCTCTCCCCTTTGACCCCCCCCTTTTTTTTCTTCCCTCCTGTTCATTCTAGGATGTTGTCTGCCACAAGGACCTGGAGGAGCTGAAAGTAGCATTGGAAGAATAAGTGCATTCTTTGGCTTTCATCACCAGAAGGACAACATCACATACAGTAGCAGGAGAGAGGGGAGTCCCCTCTTGTGCTCCCTGCTCAGACCAAAATTTTTCCTTGGGGTGGAGGCTGAGCAACGTAGAGGCTGGGAAAAGGGTTGGTTGCCCTGAATCTTGTCCTGAGCTGCAACCTCTGTGTTTGTGTTTGTCTACTGTTCTGTTATGGTTCATTTACTCCCAGCCTTCTCTCTACCCTGAAACCAGAAAGGGAAATGTATGATTTTTTTCATCAGGTCAAACTTTCTGGTTTCATGTGCTTTTTTTTTTTAAAAAATTATGACTTCTGTGGCTGAGGCTGTGGTGGCAGAAGGAAGTAGCTGTGACTGTAAGCACAGGCCTGGTCAGGGCAGTGGCACAGAAAACCACCTGCCAGCTGGGGCAGTGGGAGGATGGTGGCACTATTTTTTATCTGATGGGGAGGTAAATGCACTTTATAAAGCCTTAGGAACAAAGTATGGAACTTTCTCGTTTCATCCTTTTCACTGACCAATCCCAACTTCATTGTAAATACCCCTAGGATCCCACCCTGTGTGGTCAGGGTAAGAGGAAGGGCTATGAGAAGACTAGACATTACTTCCATCTTGCCCCTAACATGGGCTCAGGCTTGGGAGGGGATCTGGCTGTTTCTTCCCTGCTTGGGCCTTGACACCTTTTAAAAAGTGAGGCATTATCTTGTTTAGGGTACTGATAAAGCTATGGTATTTATAGCTGCCTGGTCTGTGTTGTACAAAACTGAAATAAATTCAGCTCAAGTGGCAGTGAGAGCAAAGTTATCCTCTCATTATTTTTACTTTCCAGGTGTGCTCTGTAGACGACTCAGTCTTCCCTGTAGTTACTGAATGGGTACATTTCTCCCTCAATGCCCTAAGTTTGTCTGATGTGAGATATCGGGGCAAAGATTATTTGCAGAGGAATCAGTTTCTGTCAACTACAATTCAGTTCTTGGCGTAGTTTGTCCCTTTCCTTTGACACATAATCATGGGCCTTGTACATGTTCAATTTGAATGCCCAGTTGGCATTTCTAAGTTTATTCTCCTTGGGGCACATGCAGTATTAGCTAAGTAAGGTCAAGGCATCAACACAAAGTAAAACATAGGTATCTGTGCCTTCTTAAAACCATGCCAGAGCTCTAACAAAATTGTTAAGGCTTCAATCTTGAAGAAAAATGAAAAAATGCTGGGTGTGTGTAAGAGGGCATCTATCTATGTGCAGTTTCAGTTGTTTGTGAAGGAATAGTGAATAGTCATGGGCAACACTAGAGCACACTAGTCAAAGGGACCTGAGCAGAAGCAGTATCCCTCTTCATTATGCTAAACAGTCCCTGGTGAGGGGTGGCATGGAGAGAAGCGCTGGTCTTGTGTCAGAAAAGCTGATGATGCTCTTTACTGGCTGTAGGACCTCAGACAGGCTCACCATCTCTCTTATCTTTCAAATGGGAATGTCTGTCTTACCTCTTTCATAGGATCCTCTTTTAACAGCATGATCTAGTTGTGATGTCAGGAAAAAGTAAATTCAGATTTTGCTCTGGGCAGGTTGCTTAACTCCTGTATAAGCACATGGATCTGAGCAGACCTCTCACTATCTAGACTTTCTGTAGGCCATGACTCATTGAGGGGATATGCATGACTCTAAGCTCATCTTGAGCTGGCTTCATCTACTTGGGTTGCACAGTTTAGAAGCATTTTTAGGCACAAATGTTTTCATACACAACAATGTTTTAATACTTTGTGTGAAAAGCTGAAGCAGTAAAGACATTAGTCCTGAAGTTACAGAGGACATCCCCTAACAAATATGTCGGTTAAGCATCTAGCAAGTTTAGATAAAGCAGCAATGCAGACACCTTATACTGAAGAACACAGATCTAACCAAGCACCTCATTTAAGGGTCTGGAAGATATAGTTTTCCCTATTTAACAGACACAAGAGCAGTCAGCAGGAAAATGGAATCTGAGAGGGCCAGCCAGGGTGAGAACCGTAAATTGCTATAGACAGAAACACTAAAATAGAAACCTCCCCTCGCCCTAACCCATCCTCTTTCCTTACTTCCTCAGGGAGCCTAGATTCCATGTCAGTAGTGTCATATGAAGGCACGCTCAGGTCTCTGCAGTTGTACTGTGTCTATGTGTGTGTGCACACACACACTCCTGGTACCAAAAACAATGGAAAAAACTTTGGGGCAAGAGTTAAAGACAGAAAGTTCTAGGTTGACCAGCTGGTTCCCTAAACCCAACCTACTCCAGTGGACTGACCCGAGAATTCCAACCCAAGGAAAGCAAGGACTGGAATTTTGTGAATATTATGATTCTGACTTCATCACCTCCCCAAGAGTCCTGGGAGAACTGAACTCATTTGGCATCTTGTTTTTCTAACCATAGAGCACAGTCCTTTCAGGTACACGACCAGGGAGCAGAAGTTAAATTTTAAAAGATTCATGAAGGTGACTGTCCATGCTGTAGGTAAAGAGATGGCCTGGTGGTATATTTATACAGTGGGCAGCTTACACTCTAGAGAAAAGTTATCTCGTCGCTTCCCAATACTGACATTCCACCTGGTTAGTCAAGTAGCCCTTGGAACTCTTTTTGTTTTTACCTCATGTTCATTTCTGAATATAGCCTTTCCCCCATATTGCAAGCCTTTTAAAACCAGGATTAGAAAATTGGGGTTATAGTTTGGCTGGAAGGAAAATGAAAGAAGTGGTTTCAAAATAGCACTGGAACCTGCAGTGAAAAAGCTCTGTGGTTTGGGGAAGGGGCAGCCATCATACCAGCACAATGAAAAGCTGTAGGTTCTGTGATCATGTTCCATTCTTCCCTTACCCCACCCCTAGCAAATGACCAAATAAAGACAGGGATTCTGCCCCTTTTCCCATTCCCCTCATGGCTGTTCATCTATATTTTTTATAGCAAGACCCTAAATATATGCCTCACTCCACTGAACGTAACAAAGCAGTAAATAACATCAATAGCAAGGTGGTAGAGAAAACTTATCTTATAATATTTAGCTAACGTAAGGCCTCAACAAAGGATGTTTCATTTACCTAACATAAGATGGCCTCAAAAATCCAACCTCCAACATATATTTCATTTTTGGGCTCAAATCCCTTTGCAAAGGCTCCTGAAATAACCTAAGACCCCAGAACTTTACTGCAAGCAGTCAAGGAAGAGCTCAATTGGGACCAAGCAAGTGGCCTCATAAATCCAGGCCTCCAACTCAAGACTTCTCTTAATGGGTACACAAATATCTATATACAAAATCCCTACACTAACTCAGACGCCTAACAACTTTCAGGTGAATTTTACTGTCAGGGAAACAAGACCCTGTGAGAAGCTTGGGATAAGTAGGGGATTATTTGAAACCTTTGTGTTATAGCCCTGGGCCACTTAATTTTCATGGGGGGAAAAGAGCCCAGTTTTTTCAAGTTCTTAGTCCAGTTGTGGCCACATGTGTTAAAAGAAAAAAAAGACATTCCAGACAAATGGAAATCTTACGCCCACCTAAAGATATTGTTATGAGAAGAGTTGCTTCTAACCATTCTGCACCCCCTCCCGCCCCCCACCAAGGACTACAGAAATCACGTAGAGGTCAGTAAACTCAGAAGGAATCAACATTTCAGATCAGGGTTCCTGACTGCTGACCTGTCTTCTGTTTACACCTTCAGATGGGCAAATACAATGGCTGTTTTCACAGAAGTCTCCTAGAAGTCTCTTCTGGGGCCCTCACAACAGGAAATGGCCTGTGAAGGACACCAGGGAACAGTCCTCTTTGTAAAGAAACACTTAAAAGCGAAATCAAAGTAGCCCCTCAGTCTTTGGCATCTCCCACTCCATCAGCATTAATGGCAAACATAGCTTCAGCCTCAGGAAGGCAGGGAGAGTCATAGATCTTGCAAATCCTGGTTTCTCCTCGTCCTTTCCTTAGGTACAGCCTGATTGAAAAAACAAACAACAAATGACTTATATTATTTGCATTCCACATTTCAAAGACCACATCTGAGTTCTAAACAAGTCCAAGTTTTGCTAGGTATACTTTTTTGTGGGAAAAAATGAGAACTTTTCTTTATTCCCCAGCAACAAAAGCATTTCTCACACAGGAAAGACCCTTGCTGGTCACTCCTCAGTAGATTCTCAGGACAGTGAAATGCTGCTGATGCTAGCAAAACAGTTTCTGACCAGGAAGGGTATGAGGGATCTACATATGCTCTTTAATTTTAGGGCCTTTCCAGCCTTTAAAAGTATATGCCTACCAACTAAAGGCCATTAATTAACTGCTGAGTTGGAAGCAATAATAGTAGACTCAAAAATACTCCTAAACAATGGGAAAAAAAATTAAGACTTTTTCAAGCTTTCATATTTTTGCAATTCTCTCAAGTAGTTTCTTTTTCGAATTAAATTTTTTTCCATGCAGACAGTTTTCAAAAGAACTGACAACCATATGAGAAAATCCTCCAAAGAACCAATAAGAGAAATGCAAATTGTTTTAACTCTGGTTCCACGTCAGACTGGAAAAGATTACAAAAAGGGAAAATGACAATTATTAGAAGGGCTATGGGGAAGAGAGAGTTGTGGGAGAGGCAAGGGAGTAGACAGAAAGTGATAGTGATGTAAAAATAAAAGAGCATCAATGGAACATTTTAAAAAATGCACAGAGGAAAACAGAAGGGAAGTCAGAAGCGGGGCACAAACAAGCAGGGCAATTTTGGTACTATGATGTTAAATTTAATATATATATTTAAACACAAACCAACAGACTCACAGTTTCGCATATAATTTCCTTTTCCTGTTCTTTTATACTTGGGAAATTTTCATGTTTGTTAATGTTTGCCAAGTTTATAATTTTTTTTTTTAAAAAGAAGGCATCTTTTAGAACTCAAAAATTTTTTAAAAAATGTTAAAAATTATCTTTACATGTAACTGGGGAAAAAGAAAATATTATTTAAAAAAACAAAAAAGAGAAGGCATCCTATGTGAATATATCTTAAGTCATTACTATACCTGGTTGTTGAGGCATGTGCAATTATGTTTCCTCCAATGGGTTTTTTGGGATCTGCAGCAAACATAGCTGCCCCGTCTACTTGGGCTACCACCTGATTAGTGATCACCACTGCCACACCAAACTGATGGAGGAAAGACAAACACAAAGTCTCTTTCGTTATCACAAACATCAGTAGGCACCTTGTCCTATGTTTCCCAGAAAGTTCTACCGGCTTTAACCATCCTTTATGGGGAAAAAAAATGGATGACTAATATTCCCTGGTCCTCCCTCCAACAAAAAGGAATTGCTCTCCCCATCTAACATGTAAGAAAATGAAGGTACAGGAAGGTTCCTAGCTACTTGTGTATTTGATCTTTCAGCTCTGTTAGATCATAAGCTTCTTGGGAGCAGGGTCTGTGCTGTGACTCTGTCTTGAGGATCGAGCAGAGTGCGTTTACATTGAATAGGCCCCCAAATGCCTGAATTTTGCATTTCAGTGGTAGTAGCAGTTCTCAGCCCTCCTAGCAGGACTAAAATGAATACAGACTAAAAATGAAATAAGGGGTACCCTCACTATTGCCCCAGCAGCTCTACCTCATCAGCAAGTCGCAGGAGCATCCGAAGGAACCTGGCTAAGTGCATCTGTCTGGCTGACAGCTCCCCTCGGCCAGAGTAATCCGTCCGATAGAGGGCTGTAGCACTATCCACAATTAACAACGCATACCTAAAAGGCAAGGAAGAGAGAGATACACTGGAGAGTACTTTTTGCTTAAGTCTGGTTCAATCTTCTTCCTCATTACCTAAAATTTCAAATACATATTCAGTTATTTATATAAGTATATTCAATTGAAAGGAAAAATGTGCTTCAGAAAAAGAGCCTTTGTTGTTGTGGTACAAGATTCCTCCACTGAAATGATACTCATGAGGGTAAATATGCAGCATTTTCAGTTCAGTCATTTCAGCCTTCTCTGACTCTCCATGACCCATTTCCTTCTCCAGTTCATTTTACAGATGAGAGACTGAGGCAAACAGGGTGAAGTGACTTGCCCAGAGTCACACAGCTAGTAAGTGTCTGAGGCCAGATTTGAACTCAGAAAGATGAGTCTTTCTGACCCCAGGGCCCACACTCTACTCACTGTACCACCTAGCTGCCTAAATTCCTTCCTTCCTTCCCATAAGTTCAGCTGTATTAGTTTCCTTTTTAAAGACAGCAGTTTGTTGTGGGTCACACAGTAAGTCAGTACCAGAGTTGGGCCTAGATCTCCTCCCTCCTGCCCCCAGGCCCAACCTCTATTTATTCCCATGACCATCCTCTGATCAGCCTATACACTTTTCAGTACTGGATCTCCCCAGGTCCATGAGCATCGGTGCTGTCTGCTTCCAACTGTACCTGGACTCAACCATCATGGCTGAAGCCTGATAAAGGAGCTGGGTTTGGTGGTCAGTGTTGAAGCCTCGAGCATACGCCACGTTATCCAGGACATCACTGCCAGACAGGCCATACCTAGTGAGAACATGTGAACAGGCTGAAAAAGCTAAGCAGATGCTAGAGATGTTTCTCTGGGTTCTGCCTCTGGGATCATTTAACTAGAATGTGTTAATTTAAACCTAGTGATAAGAAAAAACATTTCCAAAAGAAGAGATGCAAACTATTAATCACATAACAATGCCCCAAATTTCTAATATTAAGATAAAAAATTATTTTTACCTCAACTCATCAATTTGGCAAAGATAATAAAAGACTGCAAATCAATGTTGGAGGGGCTATGGAAAGACAGGCATACTAATAAATCACAGACTGAACTGATACAACCATTCTGGAAAAGAATTCAGAATCCTGAAATGATAATAATAGCTAGCATTTATATAGTGCTTACTGTGTGTCTGGTACTGTGCTAAGCACTTTACAATTATCTTATTTGATCCTAACACCCTCATGAGGTAGATATTATTATACCCATTTTACAGTTCAGGAAACTGAGGCAGACAGTGATTAATGACTTGGCCCAGGATAACATGGCTAGTGTCTGAAGCTGCATTTCAACTCAGGTCTCCTTGACTCCAGGCCTGAGGCTCTATCCACTGTACCACCTAGCTGCCTCAAACTGTTTACGCCAGTAATTCTACTACCAAGTATATAAGCCAAGGAAGTTTAAAAAAAAAAAAAGGGATAAAAGCCTTCTCTGGCTTTCTTCAATTCTCAGCTGAAGTCCTACCTTCACCCTTCAGCAAGAAGCTTTTCCCAGTCCTTAATCTTACTGCCTTCTCTCTGAGATTATTTCCAATTTATCCTGACTATATCTCGTCTGTACACATTGTTTGCCTGCTGTCTCCCCCATTAACTGTGACCTGCTTGAGACCATGTAGTAGGTGCTATTAAATGTTTGTTGATTGACAGGTCAGATATTTATAGCAAAAAATTGGCAACAAAGAGGTGCCTAAGTGATTGGGAAATAGCTGAGTAACCCATGGCATATGAATGGGATAGAATGGAATTTTAGTGCTCTCTAGGAAACAACAGATGTGAGGAATTCTGGGGGGAAAATGGGAAGCCTTTTATTAGAAAGAAATTAATATCAGAGTCAAGCACAACCAGATCATATGTACATTTATAAATAACATGATCCCCCAGGGAAGATGATGAAACACACTGACCATTTCTGGGCAGAGGTAGCAGACTAAGGATGCAGAACACTGTATGTACCATCAGACATGGTTGCTGTGTCAGTAAATTTTGCTTCATTGTTTTTCTTAATTACAAGGGAATGTGGTGATGGGAGCTGGGCAGTGATTATGGTATACAAAACCCCAACGGCACAAAGTGCTTGAAATGTCTTTCAGCAGAAATCCAGTGGATCTCCTTAAGCCATAAAGAACGTTTTCAAAAATACCACAATATTCGAGTGGCACTTTCTGTGGCCACAGTGGGTGTGCTCACAGCCTGAGGAATGGCTACACAAACTGTGTCAGACATAGTCAATGTGTCAGTGGGCTTACTGTTCTCTTTCTTTTTATATAATTTTTGTTACAAGGGAAAACTTTTTTTTGGGGGGGGGGGCATATACAGAAATGAATGTGACGCAAAAACAAAAGGCACCAATAAAACTTAAAATAAAAAAATTTAGTGAATGGGAACCAAGAGGACTTTGGTTAATGATCCAGAAATTTTTGTAGCACCAGCTTCTGTAATAACTAGGACTTTTAGTCCTGGGTAGGAGACAGAATTGATCAGATACTTGCTAAATCTGATTTTCTGGTCCTGCACTCTCAGGGTCTTTAGAGATCATCTGGTCAGATATCCTTATCTTATATGGTCCTGTGGTCTTTCCATGAACCTATGCTGCTGCCTGTAATTTAAGTGTTGGTGGCACTGCTACATTTGACTTGATTATAAAATAAATAATACACACAGGATGCTGTGAAATAGCTTTCAAATGTTATAGAATGAAGGCCCTCACCCCCACCTCCCACAGGTATTTGAACTAAGAATGTAGCCTGGGATCTATAATATTGTGTCAAGACATTTTTCATAATGCAATCTTTATCATCCCTTGCTTCTTTCCTACAGCATGAGAAAAGAAATTGGTCTATCAGAGGTTACAACCTGGAGAAATCTTCCATTTTCAGAAGTCTATGAAGATGATCAAAATGGAGCAACAGAAGAAGCAGAAACTACTGATAGTGATAGTTCAGAAAATTAGACTTGAGCAGCCCTTTTTCTTCCTTCCTTTTTTTTTTTAAAGCTTCTTTCCAGAAAAGGAGTTTTCATCTTGGATACCTCATACTGCAAAACTGATTTATAAAAGCCCATTTAAAAAGCCACAATTCAATCCTTTGGCTTTTGATTTCATATTTTCTGTACAAACCCTAAACCAAGTACAGAAAGTGCCCTGGGTCGGTGGTTAGAAGACCTGGATTCTAGTCTTGCTTCTGCTGCTCACTAGCCTTCTTATTTTGGGCAAGTTACTTCCTCTACCTGAACCTCAGTTTCCTTACCTGACAAATGGAAATAATACTTGTAATCTCTCTCTCCGGGGCTTGGGATGGAGAGGCTGTGCAGAAAAGCACTTTGTTCCCCCTAAAGCACTATGCACCTGGGGGCTGTTAGAGCACTTGAAGCCCAGGATTCTTTGACTCCACAGCTGGTCTGAAAGGCTGTATCCTCTGTCTGGTCAGAGGAAAGATTTCTTCCTGGACTAATTACACCCAAAGGCATACTTTCAAAAGCAGGCAGATCTGCCAAGAAGTACTGCTGTGTTTTCCTTGAAATTCAGGCCAGGAAATTCCAATCCCCTCCAACAGATGGAAATAGAAACAATTTTGAAATTCATGACTAAATCCCTAAACTACTACTCCAGAAGGGAATCCGGAGATGCTACTCTACACCTTAGGCTCCACCAAGCAGTCACTCAAAAGCAATGGAAGCCAAGGGACCTCTCAGAATTTAGACTAGAGTGCTCTCAAACCAAAGGGGAAGAGGAACAGCCTAAGCATGATAGAAACTAAAACTATGATCCGCTGGAAGGAAATCCAGTTATCATTAGCAAAGAGGATGAGGGTGACTAAAGAGAATGAATCAACTTTATTTCATTTCAGAAGCACAAATAACACTTGAGATTTTACATCTTCTGAGTGTGACTTCTATCACACTTAAGACTCTCACTGTGTGCATTCGGATGAATGAGTCTGACACTAAAGTTTATGTTTGGGGCTCAATAAATGATCATCACCATAAGGCATACCCCTGCCTCCTCTTAAACACAAAGGAAAATGAGGCACATTCTGTTTCTTAAAATCATATTCACTTTTACCATAACCATTTCCACTTCAGAGAGCAAAAAAATATGCCACAAGAGCTACAACTGACAAATTCTCTTCTGATACAGAAATAGCTATTCATTTACACATGGTGCCTTAATGGGAATCTTTCCTTGCAAATCATTCTGATTTTAAAGACCTTATTCACCGAAGTAGTACCTTAACTTAAGACTACCAATTAAAATAATCAATTAGCAAAATAATAGAGAATCATTCAAGAAGCAGCTTAATTCCAGATGCTGGCACATACTGACTGATGACAGCAGTAACCACTGACACCCTATCTTTTCCATCTCTATGAAATCTTTATAAGAATAACCTATACATAGACTGGCAGTGTCCTTGATGAAAAATGTGAGAAGAGAACACAAAACAGGCAGGTTTTCAGAGGCACTTCCCTTTAGCAAGCCAAAGTTTGTCATACAGCTGATAAGAGGAGGGCAATTCCAAGATCCCACCAATGGAAATGAGCAGAACCAAGGGAAACATTTACACAGTGACCACGCATGACTCCAGAAGACTGATGAGGAGGCAGGCTTCCCACCCTCTTGGCAGAGGAATGATGGACTAAAGGGACAGAATGAGATACATATCTTCAAATGGATGGTCAGATTTGTTTTGCTTGACCACACTTATTTGTTAAGAAAGAGTTTTTCTTAGGAGAAGGGAAGTGAATAATGACACTGATGCAAACGAAAACAAAAGAACATCAATGCAATATGCTGTATGTACATTACAGATTCAAAGTGTCATACAAGCCTTTATGTTTTTCCTTTATGTAAGGAAACACACTTGTTTGATATATGTCAAGTTCACAATAATAAAAAAAGAAAATTTAAAAAACATACCCACCAGGGTAAACAAAAATAAAATGAAACTGAAAACAATGATGGATAATACCACATAAACATCCCTTTGTTTAATGATCCTCTGATTATTGACACTGAATAAGGGATATGCTAGGGCAACCCCAAATGCTTAGATTTCTTACTGATGACAAGGTCCTCCAGACAGTCATTTAGCCATGGCTGACAAGCAGATGAAGATACATATTGCCCTAATTATGACATATGCAATTAGAGAGAAAACCTACTGAGTTATTAGTTCGTCATTCACTACATAGCTCTTGGACAGGCATTAGAGCTAGACAAATAGGCGGGCTCAGATTTAGTAAAGGACAGAGAGTGGGTTAGATAACATCCAAGAATCTGTGCCTCACTTACAAGGTTCACACACTGCTCCCTGATGCTTCAAAGCACATTTTTTTAAACATCAATATTCTTCCATTTAAGCTACATTGCTGCCTATCACAGAACAACAAACAGTCCAGAAGGCTCAAGCTAGCAGATGAGTGAAAGGGCAGTGGACAGATATACTCGGGCGGTTACCAATTATGATTTGTTTGAAAATGGGATAAAAATTTCAAAGGCATTTATGAAAAGGAGATGGCCACCTCCTTTGGTCATGCAGTGAGAGTAACTGGTAACAAATGGACAACCTACGCATTGCACTGATATCCATGAAATATGAAAAGAATCAGAGAAAGGTCCCTTACACAACAGACAGACCCTCTGTGGAAGGACACAGACGAGAATGACACGTTGCCATTCATACCAGTGGAGAACCTACATTAATAAAGTACTAACTGTCTTGTTTATTGAGTGCACTCTCACCCAGACCTGTCTATCTTGGCAGCCTCAGACTTGCTCCCATCCCTCCGACACCCGGGGTGTTACTCTGCTTTGCCACCACACACGTACCTGCCTCTAGCTTTCCACCTCTTCTGCTCTGACGAGTAAACAAATCTATACTAGCAATGCTTCTGAAAAAAGCCAAACAATCACCTGCCCTCTGGCTCTACTTGCCATTCCTGCGACTCCCTGAATCAGAACTCCTTCCCTATATGTGTTATTGTACCTATTACAGTGTAATTTCCTCTGAAGAGTGATTAAGCTGTGCATACCCTTTGATCTAGTGACACCACTACTAGGCTTATACCTCCAAAGAAATCAAAGAGAAAAAGGATACACGTGCACAAACATATTTATATCAGCTCTTTCTGTTAAAGCAAACAACTGGAGATAAATGGGATGTCCATCAATTAGGATATGATTGATTAAATTGTGGTATATGAATGTGATGAAATTTTACTGTGCCAAAAGGGATGGTTTCACAGAAATCTGGGAGGAGTTGTATGAACTAATACAGAGTGAAGCAGACAGAACAAGGAGAATATTTTATACAGTGTCAACATGTGAAGAAAAACAATTTTGAAAGATTTAAGAACTCTGTTCAATGCACTGGCTAACAAACATTTTTGAGACTCGATTACGAAGCATGCTAGCTACCTCCTGACAGAGAGGCAGGCAATGGACCCAAGGGGCAGAATTAGACATACATTTTTGGCAAATGTCACACATGGCAAACATGTGGATTTGTTTTGCTTGATAAAGCTTATTTGTTTTAAGGATTGTGTTTAAGATGTTGGAGTTATTAAATACTCTTTAAAAAGGCAAGCTATACCTCCACATCCAGAGAAATAACTATGGAGCCTGAATGCTGATTGAAGCATACTATTTTCTCTCTTTTTTTTCTTTTTCATGATTTTTCCCTTTTGTTCTGTTCTTCTTTTACAACAAGACTAATGTGGAAATATGTTTAATAAGATTGTATATGTTTAGTCTATATCAGGTTGCATGCCATCTTGGGGAGGGGGAAAAATTTAGAACTCAAAATCAAGAGTGGATGTTGAAAACTGAAAGTATATGAAGTGGTGAGGAAAAAAGACAAGCTATATGTAATAGATTCACATTTTTACCAAGAATCTTCTTTTTAAATGTTTAATTTTGTATATGAAAATATTTTCTTTTCTTGCTGTTCATTAAATTCAGGATAAAAAAAATGTTTTATGAAGAATGTAATCTCCTTAAGGGGCAAGAACTGTCTCACTTTTACATTTGCATTCTCAGGGTCTAGCAAAGTACCTAGCACATAGTGCGTATTAAATACCCTTTCATTTGTCTACATAGTGCTTTAAGGTTTGCAAAGCACTTTTTATACATTATCTCATTTGATCTAGGCACTAGATTCTGTGAGGCTCATTTTAAAATGAGGAAATTGAGTCTCAAAGAAAAGGAATTAAATGATTTGCCCATAGTCACCTAGTTAGTAATTTCCAGAGGCAGAATTTGAACCCAGGTCTCTCTCTCCTGGTTCCAAATCCAGCAGTCTTTCCACTCCCTCCCATATACCATGCGGCCACTGAAGTATCTCCACAAAATGCTGAGCTGGGGAAAGGTTTCTGTTCCTAACTCTGCCAGTATTCGAGACAGCAGTTAATGTGTCCTGCAAGAGGGAATCCTGGTCATGACTGCGGCACACACTTGTCTTTTGAGAGGACTGGCTCCCAAAGTCCTTATTTTCTCTGCAAATAACAGTATTTGTTCATCATTCCAGGAATATTCTAGCACCTTCTGAAGTAGCTGGAATATCAATGGAGCAATGCTTTAATACTACCAATTGCCATTAATCACAAAATCTAGCTGCGAGCTCAACTCCCCCTGCAGCAGGCTCTCCATGTTAAGCACTAACACTAGGTGAGGGTGAGCTGTTAGGTATGCCAGAGGAACCAGGGAGTCACTTTGGGGTTCTGGCCAAACCACACCAACTGCTTCACTACTTCAATTTGTTCTAATAAGGTAAAAACCTCCCTCTAAAGAGACAAACTATCCCCTATTTGAACTACAGGTAAGGTGGATAAAAATGAATGAGGAATTTTCTACTTTTCCTTCTTGTTCACCATATTGCTCAGAAAATACTCGAGATGATTGCCAGCAATACAGGTAGAATGTTTTCACCTTATGAGGCCACACCAGGTTTACTGAGAATAGAAAGCATTCTTCTTGCTCCCCCTCCCACACACTACCACTCAATCTTGCAGGATCTGAGGCTCCAGGTATCTATGATTTTTAAATCCCTTAACTGGGAGTGGCTTCTTGGAGATAATCACCCTCTACTGCCACAAGAGGGCGCTCTTTCTCCGACTAAAGAGAACTCATAATAGTTCCATGAGAAAGGGTTGGCATACAACACAGGAAAATTATGCCATAATAGCCTGAATTGGGTTAATATTCATAAATAACAGGTTGTACTTAAGCAGTGTTGGCAGATGTATTAATTATGGCACTCTCAATGCTTCTGCTGTGAAAAATAATCACACATTAGCTTATGCAGACCCTGGGCCTTACTTTACAAAGCCCATTTTGAGGAACTATTGATAGAGGTAAGACGGATACAATTAACACATACATAAGAAATTCAAGCAGGACAAATCTTCCTAACAAGTGGGAATGAATATAATAACACCAATATAAATGACCACCACCAGCTCACATTTATATAGCATTTTAAGGCTGACAGAATGAGCACAAGCACCTCGGGAAAGCGGCCAGTACAAATGTCCCTGACTCTATTTGGGTGCTCGTTGGGGTGAAACAGCTCACCTGGGTCACGTAGCTATTGACTGTCTGAGACAAGATTCAAACCCAAGTCTCTGGCCTAACGCCAAGCCAAGGGCACCGTGCTGCCCCTCATAGTTAAAGATCATTTTGTTAGGGTGCTGTCACTTCTGGAGGGATGATCCACTGCAGATATACATCTCCTTAAAACAAAAGTCACTAAGGGGAAATCTGTCCTAGTTTCTTGACCTGACAAAGAATTGTGGGATTTGAGATGAGTCTGAAATGATGCAACCACAGCCCAGCTAATCTGTGCCTCAGTGATACTGCCTTATGGCTTAGGCTCAGACTAAAGGACAAAGAGGGAGGAAAAAACCCCCCAAAACCAAAAAAAAATCCTTCCTAAATTGGAGGGAATTTCAGTCACCTTTTCTCCATACAACCCACAGCTACAAGGATGTAACCAGCTGGATTTGTATCAATGTAGGGCTACAGCTAGAGAACTGGACTTCGAAGGCTTCGGGTGACAAGAAAAAAATGATCATAGATGTGACCATGAATTAGATTCTAGGTGACAGGCAGAATAAGCTTGTGAGCTGACTTGAAGATTCTAGCTGAAAAGCAGAGTTGCCTTGATCAAAAAACCAAACAAACAAAACCCAACCACCACCACCACAACAAACAAACCAACTATCTCTTTTATAGGGAAAGTCCTCCTCTCATACCAAGAATGACATGTGAACAACTTTGGGAGGGATACCCCTAGAGAAGTCAAGGCAAGCCAAAGGACTTAGCCACCTAGCCATCTGGATCAGCTGAATCAATCCCAATGATTAACGAGATGCTAAATATCACAGGCAGACAGTCCTCCCCTTCAGAACAATAGCCTACCTTTCAGCCACCGCCAGCAATCGCTCTGGCCGGAAGGTTCCCTCAGTATCAATGTACATCGCCTTCCCTTCACCACCACCTCGGTCTATGGGGAGCTAAAGAAAATTAAAAGTAAACAATAGTAAGAATGAACTACAGCCAAGTATTTCTGATATTTGAGACTAAATTGCCCAAGGCCAACCATTATGGCTTATTAATGTCTTGTACCAATTGTCAAGAACCACATACAACTCTTCATAGTAGAGCTACACTTGAGTTCTTAAAGACTGTGACAGTGGAGCATTTCTCAAATGGGCCCAGATACCACTGTCATCTGAGGGCTTGTGCCTGGTGAAGTTCTGACAGACTTGTCAACTATATGGCCACCAGGTGATGAATTTTTTGGGGTTACGGTAACTCGTGAAATCATCTCCTAAGGCAAGGGTGCGGAACCTCTGGCCTCGAGGCCACATGTGGCCCTCTCGGTCCTCAAGTGCGGCCCTTTGAATCCAAACTTTACAGACCAGAAGTTCTCAAGTGGCCTCAAGGCCGTAAGTCCCCACCCCCATCCTAAGGCATTAAGGAGCTAGTTACATTTTGTGTCAATGGAAGGAAAACATGTTATGAACAAAATGAGATTTTTTTACTTACTGAAATCACAAATCCTGAAAAGTATAAACGTTGTTACTGCAGAGAAGATTAAGTTAAAATTGCTCAGTTTGATTTCGGGCTGGGCTGGGTTTGGAGCCACAAAGCAGGAGAGTGGGCTAGGCCATGATCTACTCCTAAACATTTCTCCAAAATTCATTTTGGGGATTTGAGGACCCTTGAATCATGCAATAACTGGTTTTATGCACTGCAGCTTAGGAATGTGTCTAGCACATGTTACCAACCCTAGAACAATGTTTATTTCCACTCCATTGAGCAGAGTCTGGTAACAAGGGGAACCCAGTAGGGTTTAGAAATGTCTAAGAAATAGTAACAGAACACTTGAAAATACAGGCAGAGCGGAGAGAAAGGTGGGGAGGGGGAGAAGAGAGGAGAACAAGAGGAGAGAAAAGGTGCCATAGAGGGTGCCATCCAGGACTGCCTTGGGAGCTACTCGGGGCACATTTCTGTACCTCTCTACACCCACCTTACAATGTTGTGCCAAACCACCACAGTATCTCTGAGAAGTTCCAGTGGTAAAAACAAGAACAGTCTGTCCATTTTACTACCTCAACTGGAGCTTACTGCTTTTACCCCATTCCACAATGGGAGAGGGGTCCATCACCCCATAGGGTTCTCCTGTCACTAAGTTGCTGAGGCAAGTAAAGTACCCAGAAATAATTAAAAAATACTCAGATGTGCCCAAAGATCTGGGGACAAGTATCCATGCCCTCTATTATTGGCAGGATGACAGAAGGAAAGAAAGGAGCAATGTGATGTTAGGAATCATAGGATCTTACATTTAGAGATTGGGGGAGACTGATTTGTCCAAATTTACACAGAGGAAGTGGTGGAGTGGGATTTGAACCTAGGTCCTCTGACTCTCCAGGGCACTGTGCTGCTTCCCTGGCTCTGAGACAAATCAGCTGCATGGCCATGGCCAGGCCACTTCCTCTACCTGAGCTCCATTTCCCTTATTTACAAAATGGGGATAATATTTCTTACACTACTCCAAAAATGTGAATAGTCATTATTATTTACCTAAAGTCTCACCATTAATTTTCTTTGGATAAAATCAAAGGCTTTAAGTTAGGTATTCAGTTGTCTGTGAGTATTGTTATTTTTATAGACAGGATATGTTTACATGAGAATTTTGCTTCATTTTACTGTTGGCAGACGTAAGCTGACCATTCGGTAAACATTCCCAGCCTGGGATTCTGTTTATACAACTTTAGAACGTCAGCATGACATGCTTGGTTGCCATGGCAACCATGGACAGGGTGTACTGTACTCTAAATATTTATTCTGCATGAATCCCTGTCAAAACAACATGGGGAAAGCATTACTATTTAAAAGGTCACCTATAATGCCAGAGGACCTATAAACAGTACCCTGGTATTAAGGGTGTCATTTTAAACGGCTTTATTTCCCCCCAGCTGCCAATTTCCAAATGGCACCTGGGCAATGACAGGAGCGTCTATTGCTTTTGTTTCCTCCACTCCCTCTAAATTATGCTCAAGGTTTTCTACAACTTTCCTTCCCTCCATTCCCCAAACCCTTTCCTGCTCCGAATCAACCACATATGAGGAGAAATAAACACGGCCTGGCCCTCCTCATCAAACAAGCAGTGGAAGTTAATTCCGAAATAAATTTTTGAATTTGAAGGTCATACTGTCACTAAAATCCTCATTTTGCTGTCATCCCAGAGAAAATGACTACTTTTGCCATGTAACAAATAAAATATTGGGGCAACCAAGGAGGGAAATGTCCAGCTTCAAAATGACATTAAGTGAGCTGAAAACAGCTAAGTTAAGAGGTGAGGACTTACTTTTCTGGTGTGGTTTGTAGAAATCAATCTGACTAAATTATAGCTATACCACCTGCACTTCTTGGCGGCTTTGCACTTTAGGCACACACAGATGTGTACTGTATTAAACACGGATTTTATGAAAACAGAGGATACTCATGGAATTTGTTTCTCTATTCCCTGGCATATTTCATTTCCAACTATAATACAAAGTAACAATGGCACAAGAAAAAAATGCTTTGTTAACTACAATATCATAATTATGAGCAGTTCTTCCTTCAGAGTACCTTACCTCTAACTTACTGAGAAAATATGAGGACACACACCTTGATTCCCACCCCCACACCCCATTTCTACAGCTCAAAACTCCAATATGGGGGACAGCTAGGTGGCGCAGTGGATAGAGCACCGACCCTGGAGTCAGAAGGACCTGAGTTCAAATCCAGCCTCAGACACATAACACTTACTAGTTGTGTGACCCTGGGCAAGTCACTTAACCCCACTGCCTAGCCAAACAAACTCCTCTACATTCCCACTCTCTACTCCTTTTCTATAGTTTCCAAAGAAGAGTTTATGTTCTTTGTCAAAGCCAAGCCCTCTGACTTGTGCCCCTGATCACATCATCTCCTTGCTTGAGACCCAGCCTAATGGTTCCTTTTTATGTTCTCTCCCTCATCTTTCATATCTCATTATTTACTTTTTCCCTCCAGCACATTTTTTTAAATTAGCGAAGACTTCTACCCCACCAAAAAATATTAAGATATACTGGTTGGGAGTTTGTTTTTGTTTTTTGTTTTGTTCAGGGTGGGGAGTGGGAGTGTTACTATGGACAGAGACCTAATCTGTCAGTACTGAAACCACGACACAGAAGCTTCATGCTACTGTTTCTTAGGATTAATAATTCACAAGGTGGTTGTAACGATCAAATGAGTCTCTTTATCTACTTTAAGATATGACAGAAACTCCTCAAGGCCTACAATTTAAAGCCCTCCACCAAGGCCTCTATAAACTGGCTCTTTATTTTCACAACACCCGTCATATATATTCCCTTCTTTCAGCTCCCACAGGAACCTCCCTTGGTGTGGGCCCTCCCCACCTCTCAAGTGGACTACTTCAACAGTCTTCTGTTTTGTCACCCATCAAGTGTCTCCTCACTCCAACCTCACCTCTACTCAGCTGCTCCTCCCAAAGCACAGCTCTGACCCTGTCACTCTCCTACTCAATAAACTCCAATGGTTCCATATGAGCTCCAGGATCAATGATCAAGTCCCTTGTTTGGCAATTAAAGCCCTTCACAACCTGGTCCCTTCCGGTCTTTCTGGTCTCTCCTCCCGTGCCAGAAGCCTTCTTGCTGTTCCTTGCATAGGACCTTCTAGCTTTGACTCTCAACCTTTCCACTGGTTTTCCCTGATGCCTGATGTGTTCAACCCCACCTCCTGGCTTCTCTGGCTTCCTGCAAGACTCAGTTCAAATTCCACCTTCTGCAGGCTTTTCCCAGCTCAACTTCTCCCCACCCCCTCCAGTGCTAGTGCATTCCCTCCAAGATTACCTTCCATTTATACTGCATGTATCTAGTACGTACAATTGTTTTTTTGCTTATTGTCTCCCCCATTAGAATGCAAGCTCCTTGACAGCAGAAATGATTTTTGTCTTTCTTTGCATCCCCATCACTTAGCACAGTGCCTAGTACATAGAAAGCACTTAATAAATGCTTAATGACTCACTGCCAGGCTTCATGTTTTTTACTGTAATAAAGGAGGCTTCTACTTGGGAAGTGACTGTGGTATTAAAAAAACCAAAAAAAAAATTTTCTAAAGCGCTTCATAATCTGGCTCCTACCTACCTTTTCAAATTTATTCCACATTACTCCTCTTTATGCAGACTCAATCCTAGTCTAGCTGGCCACTCACTGTTTGCCAAGCACTCTAGCTCCTACCCTGAGACTTGGCTTGAGCCAGCTGCGGCTTTGCAATGCCTTCTCTTTTCCTGGCTACCACAGAACACCTCTTTTGGACCTTCCCCATTACTGGTCTCTCCATTCTAAGAACATCTTCTATTTACTTATGCCCTCCCTCCAAATAGACTTCATATTTAATTACTTGGTGTATGTTGTGTTTATTAGCATTGTATTTATGCTGCATATATTTTTCCATGTACTTGTCTCCTCTCGGATTGTTTCATTCTCTGTATTTGTGTCCCCAGTGCCCAGTAACCCTGGCACACGACAGCCACTTGATAAATGCTTGTTGATGATTGATACGCTCTGTCCTTCCAATACACTGTAAGCTCCACAAGTGTTTTGGTTTTGCTTTTTGTAGCCCCAATGCCTACCAAATTACCAATTAATGCATGATGGGTGAAATGAAATGAACTGAATACTACTGCCTCAATCAGCTTCCTTTTAAAAAGGACTTTGATCATATTCCTCTTGTCTTCAAAATAGCTTTCTACAACCTTAGAGAAGAAACCCAAATTCCAGAGGCCGGAAGCTCCTCTTCCACACTGCTCAGGACTGTGCCTGCACATGGTCAGCACGAATATTGTCAGTGAATGAGTGAGACCAAAGGAACAGAGGTTGAAGATAATGTTGTTTCTCCTGAAAAGCTTTCATTTTACAAATGAGGAAATAGGTTTGGTGAGGAAGGGCAGGTGGATTTTTAAAGCACTTTATCTTGGCAGACTCGTTGATCTTAGTAGGCTCACTTCTCGGTGGGTGTTTTTTAGAAACGTTTATACTCATTTCCTACAGCTTGCTTAGTGGACATATCCCTGTACTTCCTGGTACAGGAGATGCCGATCTCAAGCTCATGCCATCTTTTTCTCCCTGTCCCAGGGGCTTCTACCCCATGTCTGTTGAATCCATTTTTGTCCCAATTTTCCACAATGCTCCTGTAGGACAATCTTCATGCAGTCAAAGCCTACCCTGGCTCCCTTAGATCCAAGTCAACTTTTACACTAACAAATCTGACTATCCTTTTACTTGATTTGGATTGAATTTACTCATTAGTTTATAATTAATTTATATCTCCAAGTGTGATGCCACTAATAATAAATGTTGTATTACTCCCCCTTTCCAATAATTTAAGGTTGTAGGATCATAGGATTTTGGAATTACAAGGGATCTTAGATATCATTTTCAGTTCAACTCTGTCATTTTGCAAGTAAGAAAACTCAGGCCCAGAGACATTACAAAGTAATCCTGAGGATTAGAACCCAGGACTTATCAGGATCCCACTTACTCACCTGACAGGTTACAGCCAGTGTGTGACAAATCTGTGTCTTCCCAGTTCGAAATTCCCCAAATATCTCTGTGATGGACCCAGTCTCAATCCCACCTAAAGGGGCAACAAAAGATATACAGACACCACATTAAAAGTTAAGTTAGGAATTTACTTATGTGTCTATCTAGATCACAGGAACAGAATTAAGATAATGAAAGTTCTGCATCCATCCGTCCATCCATCCATCCATCCATCCATCCATCCATCCATCCATCCATGATACTACTGTAGCCTCTAGAGCACTGATATGTAACAAATCTAGTTGAAGCCCTCAAAGATTATGTAAGCGAAGAATGAAAAAAGAAAGGAGTGATGGAATAGATAAGGAAATGGCTAAAGTCAGACCTGACCAGGTAGCAACTCGGAAAACCACATTCTTTTCAAGAGTGAGCAGATTCAGGATAACTATAGCTCTCCAAGAAGCTGAGATGACTGGATTATATCCTGTGCCCTAGTGACTCCAATCGTCATAGTCCTGAATACTGAAAGGGGCCTTAGAGATGATGTAATGAAATCCTCATCATCTTAAAAGTGAGGAAATTGAAGAAATGACTCGCCCAAGTAAGCAGTAAGTAACAGAGCCAGGATTCAAATCCAGGTGTCTGACTCTGTATCCAGTACCCTAAAGGAGGAGATGAGGGCAGGAAAACTGGGTAGGATTTTAATCAGCCACAATATTTCAGCCTTGGAACTAAAATTATAGTAAGAGGCTTTAATTGAAAATATTGGCTTAAGAAGGTGACACACTTTTTTTAAATTAACCTTTTTTTCAATCAACAAAAATTTTCCTTTTTTTCCTTCCTACCCATCCTATTGGCTCTGAATTTCTCAAACTATTAAACTAAACACTTGATTTCTTTAGTTATTTTTTTTCATCTTGTCCTTGTATCCCCAGTGCCAGCTACAGTGCTTGACATAGAGAAGGTATTCAATAAATGACTGTTGATAAGACTGACTTTCAAACAATCCCTATAATCACAGATAGCTCCTGTGTTTCATGTAGAACATCAGGTTCTTCCTTCCAGCATCTTTACTCTTTCACCACAGAAGTCCTCTTCATAGTTCTCAGGAAAACAGCTAACAAGCCAAAGTGCACTTTCAAGCATTTGCTTTTGTCCTCCTTGTCACTCCCCTCCCCCACAAGAGTCCACAATACACTGCTGAGAGGTTACCACCTTGTAGTAGCTTATCAAGCTCTTTGGAGCCGGTGGTGATCTGTATCATTTCTGACCGCTGCTGATGAAATTCAGTTGCAGTGGTGAAACCCATTGGGACCAATTTAGCTGCCTCAGCCTGGCAAAAATGGAGGAGATGGCAAGTTAAGTCATTCTAAAGCTGTACATGAGATGAACAGGGATAGCATGGATGGGGAAGATAACCAATACAGGACATCATTCCTGAATCTTCTCCAAAAACTACCCAAATACTAGAGTTTCAAGAAAAAAACTACTGATCATGCAATTTAAACACAAATTAATCTACAGGACTACAGGAGATTAAATTTAAGATAAAATAAAATCTCTCAGAGAATTTTAGTTACTTCCCTATAATTTCAACCTCTATGTTCCTTATAGCTTTCAAATAACAAGATACTCTCCCCCAAATGAAAGATCAGAATGAAGACATCCACCTGGGAGACAGGTATGTCTTCAATTTCTTAATTTGTTTCTCTGAATTTTAAAATCTATTTCCTATCTTCTGCAAGGCAGGAAGAGTACAAGTATTGAGACTTAAGTTGCAGAAGTTTTAATAAGACTTGCAAAATCTTGGACATGACAGCTGTAAATAGCAGAGCAGAATTATTCTGAAAAACTACATGAAATTTTACTGTGCCGAATCAATCAGTACAAATCTAGCAAATTATTATTTAAGGAAAATTTAATTTGACTTCAAGCTGAAAATTACTAAAGTCAGACCTTGGAGACAAATTTCCATGAAAGAATCTGGCAGCTATTCTATGAGGTCTTTAATATATACCTCATAACTACTCTGAATCCAAGTTTCTGTATTTTGAAAGCAGTGGCAAAAAAAAATTTTTATATTGATTTCATATTGATACAATAACAGTCCTATTTTCGAAAGACTGGGACCCAAAGACCCTAAGAAGGGAAATGTTTTAATTGTGCATAGACAAGCCATCATCACAACCCAAAAGCAAACAAGACAAGCATGGTCCTTGCTGTTTAATCGTTCACAATATAAAATGGCTGACATCAATGCAAACAAAAAATCTAAAAGTACATGTAGATCAATTTATATTGACACCACAATAATTTTGCACATATTCATTTAGTAGAGATTTGGATTTATGAATTTAATAAAGCAATAGCAGTGATCTGATTTGCACATCTAAAGTCTTACAATGCACATTTGAAGCTCCCCTGCTGAAATTTGCTCACTGACAGAAGATGGTGCCCAGAGAGAAGGAGCAAACGCATTTCACAGACCCCTGCTGGCCCAGTCAATACTACAAATATTCTTTTAATGAGGCACTAAGCACTTAGAACCTTTTTATTTTCAATTAGCATTATTTCAACAAACATTTATTTGATAGCAGTACTAACTCCACATTTCAAGGGATAGTAACATCTTTACACTTAGAATTCAAATTAGAAATTGTTTACACTGCCTATACTCTCTCTCAATATCTCCAGCTATCATGTTTTATTCAATGACTGGAGTAAGAGCTGGAACAATGCTTCAATACTGAAGGCTCAAGAAACAGAAATTCCCACAAAGTAGCAAACTATTCTTTTGAAGGCCACCAATGACTTTCTAACTGAAAAATCTACTGGCCTTTTTTCAGTCTTCGCCTTCCTTGACATCACCATAGCGTTAAGCGGTCTACTTGCTGCAGCTGGAAAGATGTTTGCTGCATTTGGTATCACAGGCAGGTGGAGCACAATGTGACTCTTCTTGTTGTTATGGTTCAGTCACTTCAGTCCTGTCCAATTCTCTGTGACCCCATTGGGAGTTTTTCTTGGCAGAGATACTGGAGTGGTTGGCTATTTCCTTCTCCAGCTCATTTTACAGATGAGGCAAACAGGGTTAAGTGACTTGCCCAGAGTCACAAAGCAAGCATCTAAAGCCGGATCTGAGCACAGGAAGATGAGTCTCCCTGACACCAGGCCCAGAGCTCTATCTACTGTGTCACCTAGCTGTCATGAACCTGGAGTCAAATCCCAACTCTACCATTTACTATCTTTGGGAATTAGGGCAAATCGATTCCCCTCTCTTGACTTCAGTTTCCTCATGTGTAAAATGACAGGGGGTGGACTATGTGGTTTCTCTAAGCTTCAGTACTAAACCTAGGATCTTATGGTACTTTCCCTAGTAGGTCCTCTCTTCTCCTCCCTTGATTTCACGGACACTTCCCCCCCCCACCCCCCCACTTTCCCCACTCAATTACTCCTTTACTAGCTCCTCCTCTTGCAGCTCCTTAAGGTGAAGATGACTGAGGTTCTGTCCTTGGCCCCGTTTCTCTATCTACAATATTTTCTTTGGCAATCTCATTCACTACTGTGTCTTCCGCTATCATATCGACACAGATTACTCCTAACCCTGCATCTCTAGTCCTGATTGCTCTCCTCAACTCTAGCCGTGCCTATAAAGCATCTAAGCATCTTCACCCAGATGAACTGCCAGAACCTCAAATTCCACAACCCTAACCCGAGCTGACTATCTTCCTAAATCTCATCCCCTTGACTTAATGCTAGTCAGGGACACTAGCTTTCATCCAGGTCCCCAAGGTTTCAAACCCTGGTGTTATTTTTTGACTCTTCCTTCTCCCTTTTACTTCTCTTACACAATGAGCTGCCAAGTTCATTTGATTCTACTTGTGCAATCTCTCTGAGATTCTCTTCTCTGTTTCTACTGCAACCACTCAGGTACCAGCCCCTCCTGGACACCAACCACGGACTACTGCAATAGCATCCTAACAATGGTTTCTACCCCACTCTCTTTTTCTTCCTCAATTCTTCTCTCATATCACAGCCTGACTGGTTTTTTCTTTGTTTTTTTTTTACATATTGATCTGGTCATGCCATCTTTCTGCTCAAATATCTTCAGTGGCTCATTACCGCTTACCAAGTAAATCTAAACACTCTATCTTTAAGGGCCTATACAATCTGGCAATGCACCCGCAACCTTGAAAACTGATTTTTATTGACATCTTTTGTTTTTACATCACCGTCATTTCCCCTTTCCTACCACAGAGCCATTTCTTTTAACAAAGAATTATCAGAAAAAAAAAGTTGGAGAAGGAAATGGCAAACCACTCCAGTATCTTTGCCAAGAAAACTCCAAATGGGGTCACAAGGAGTCAGACATAATTGAAAAACAACTAAACAGGGGCAGCTAGGTGGCACAGTGGATAAAGCTCTCACCTTGGAGTCAGGAGAACCTGAGTTCAAATCTGGTCTCAGACACTTGACACTTAACTAGCTGTGTGACCCTAGGCAAGTCACTTAACCTCAACTGCCTCACCAAAAACCAAAATCAAAACCAAACAAAAAAAAAGGAAAGAAAAAAAGAAAAACAACTAAACAGTAACAACAAAAAAGGTGGGGGGGGGCAATTCTGCAAAACTCATCAATATATCAACTACGTCTGACAGCATATGCAATGTTCCACACTCATAGTACCCCACCTCTCCAATGATGGGAAGGAGCTGCATTATCTCATCTCTTCTTCATAGTCAGGATTAGTCATTATAATTAGGGTTCGGGTTCCCTTTTTTTGGCTACTGCCCTTTCTGGTTTTTTTCTCTTCCTATTCCTCTCTCTTTGCTTAAGCCAAACCGGACTATGCATTATTCTACATACATTTTCTATATTTTCCTGCATTTGCTTATGAGAGGAATGTCTTCCTCTCAAATCATCCCACTGAATTCCTACTTGCTCTTTAAACCTCAACTAAAATGCTACCTCCTCCTTGAAACTTTCCAGATGAGTAGTCTTGCCCCCACCTAGGGCTTAACATGGTTTATACCTCTGTAATGCATTTATTTATGTAAAATAATTATTCCTGTGTGTATCACATCTTCCTACTATACTGCAAGCTCCATCAGGGCAAAGACCTGAGCTAAAGTTTGAAGCTCCCCTGATATATGGCACAATTCTCTGAACACACCAGGTGCTCAATAAATGTTTGCTAAATTAACTAATGTATTTAAATATATGTGCACTCTTAAATGAGAGTGCAGTAATTAAGTGAACTAAATTCTTTCAAGGATTATGTGGAGAAATTAAATGCAGAGATGTCATGCTGACAGGGAGAATGGGTCTTAAAGTGAATATTAGTATTGAAGATTTGATTTTTGTAAGGGAAATTTTTGTAAGAGAAAAGGTCAAAAGTCTCTGAAGTTATAACTGCAGACAATGGAAAAATATGATTTCATAATACAGGACTAGAACCTAGATTTATGCTATACAGATGAAAAATACTGAAGAAACACATTTAAATAAAATACAATTATTTGGGGTCATTATTACTCAAATGGAGCTGTGATCTTATAGATTTAAGAATTCTCTTACACAATGCAGATTTCAACCCACCATTCCTGCCCATCCTGGGTGACTTTTATCAACATCCCTCCATCAGGTGGGGAGGAGAAGCACCCACATTCAGAGGGTCTTCTTTAATTTCACTTGACATCTCAAAGACATCAGTGGAACACAGACGTTGTCCACCATTAGCCTTTACTCTCACAACAGGACTATGCACACCATCTTCTTTTTTTGTCACATATATGCTATATTTTTTAAACTCCATTTTTTTCATGTTCATATTTGTCATGTTTCAGTCTGCTTCACCTCTACCGTGTGCTTCTTCATTGTCTTCTATGTTATTTTACTCAACACTGAAATATATCATTAGAAGTGAAATTTTAAAACCCTAGAAACAGGGTCAGAGAGGTGAAAATGGTGACAGGGCACCATCAGTGGTGGATAGCAGAATGTGGTGTGAGGTGTACTGGACAGAGCCAAGAGACAAGTTCAAGCCTTGAGTTTGCCAGCGACTGACTGTGACTTTGGGTAAAGCACTCAAGTCAGGGTGGGTTACGGTTCCACCATTAAAAAAGGAGAAAGAAAGTCCTGCTCCGGTTTCGTGTAAGGCTCAAGAGATAATGGATGTGAAAAGAATTTTTAAAATGTAATATGCTACATAAATGTTAAGGATTATTAAGTCACCACCTCACATGTAGTCAGTCAGGGAAGACAGTCATTTGTCATAGTTTATTACGTTGAATGAAACCAGGCACATTTGAATCAAATTCCCTTTTCACCATCAAGAAGCCGGGCAGGCTCTAAGACCAGATTGATGAATTACACCCATACAGAGCTAAGTAAATACAAGATTCAGATATTAAATCAATGAACGGCTTTCTAAGCTGTGAGGCCACAATACCCAGAAAGATAAGATATATTTGATGTTTTATTTGCCACCGGGAAGATTAGAAGCAAGAATTGTAATTATTTTGTAGTATTCTTCCCTCTTAGAGGCTTAGAGAGCTTTATACAACTCAGCCACCAAACTCAGCCTATAATCCTTAGAGTATTATACTTAGAAAGCAAATTACAATGAGCCCTAAAGGGAGGAGGCAGCTTTTTCAGAACCCAAATCAACAGATTTGTGAAAGGAGTAAGAAGGTCATCACAATTCCTAATGGGGAAGTCGACTGAGGGCACAGCTTATCCAGCATGGACTAATAACAAGTTAGAATTAACCAATCTACTCCATTGATAGCTTTAACGACTGACTCAGCCCTCAAATTCAACAGTGAATTACAAATGAAAAGCCCATTAATGCCTCCCAGGTTCAATTGAGTAGTGCTTACCAGGATCTTATCAGCTTTGGCTTCACTAATGCCTTTAATATTTATTAGTTCCTTCTTTGGTGCATAGGCAACGGCCTCAACTGTGTGGTATCCAGCTTCTTCCAATTTCTTCAAGTCATTGGCATTTATGCCACATTGCTGCAAGGGAAGAGAACCATTTCAAATGGCTTTATCATTAACCCTTCAGAACAGGCACTTCTACTGAGTAAACTGAATACTTAGACCTTATTACCAGTTTAGAAAGCACAATGCAGCCACGGAAAGAAAGCTGGCACTGAGTATTAGCAATTAAGGAAAGAGAACTAGCTCCACAAACACACCTTAGTTAGATACTGATCATAGTTGAGAATAAACAATATGGTCACAGTAACACAGAATGTTATTTACAATCATAGTACTTAATGACTAAACTGCATATTTGTTTGTTTACAAAAGAATCTGTGGAAGCAGTGGGAAAACAAACCAACCCCAAACTTCCTGAGCTGGAAGTCCAGAGCTCTGAGTTTGATGACCTTACACAAGTCACTAAAGTCTCTGGGCTTTAGTTTCTTTATCTGACAACTGGAACGAAGGAGTCAGTATCCAAAGAGATCTAGAAAGGCCAAATCGAATACGATGAACTTTAATGAGATATAAAATTCTACAGTAGGGTTAAAAAAGATCAACTTCACAAGTACAAGATGGGGAATGTAGAGCTAAATAACAGTTTCCATAAAAAAGATTCAGTGGGCTAAGTAAGTTCAAAGAGAAAGCAGTACAACAGAGCCAGAAAGTGAATGCAATCCTAGCCTTCATCAAAGGAAGCTTATGTACAGCTGAGGTGACAACCCTGCCAGTGGAATGAGATTAAAAAGGAATTGGGAAATGTTTAACAAAATAAATAAAAATATAATACAACACAGCTAATGTTAATTTGTGGCTTCCTAAGTCAATATGTGGCCCACAGGGATCCATTTCTATTTGAGTTTTACACCACTGCTGTGTGTAGAGGACATAGGATGTGATCATCTAACTATCCTGCTCCAGTTAGGCCACATTTTGGGACTATTATGCTGAGCTCTGGACATGCTGTAGGAAGGCCATCTACAAGCTGTAGACCATCTACCATACACATTTCCAAAGACCTCCCCTTCCACCTCTTCAGAACTGGATTATGAACCTCTTAGAGCAGTTATAATCTGACTGCTAAGTAGTCACAGCAGCATCTTCACAGGTTGTAGGGACCTGCTCCCCAGGTTACCTGGTGGTTGTAGCAGGCCACAAGGGGTCATGCTTCCCTAGAAACAGGGACTGGGTAAGAGCCCAGCCTTCTTCTTGATTCTGGGTGGGGCTAAGTAAGTTGAATAGCTGTTGACAGATTGTGATATTCATGGTGGATATCTCATGATGGATAAACTTGCTCCTCTTCCAAACTTTCACATTATATTAGACAGTACAGCCCTCCTCGTCACCTAGATTTACAAGCATGGAGTCATCTTTGACTCTTTGGTCCACCTATTCAATCAGCTATCAAATCTTGTCATTTCTGTGTCCAGCATCTCTCACATTTGACCTCTTCTTGCTTCCTACCTCTTAGCTACACTATTGCAGGAGCCTCCTAATTGGTCTCTCCTCTCTCCAACCTAAGCTGCCAATGTGTGACTTTCCCAAAGCACACATGACCATTTCACAAGTGACCTGTACAGTAATACAGGTAGGTACAGGACCTAGACTGATGCTTTTATGTGGTTAACCCTGGTGAAGAAACTTTCTCTGGCATGCAGCCTGGCACCTTCTCTGTACCTTAGTCTCAGAGAACTGCCCAGAGTGACAGGCAGGACTAGAACCCATGTCTTTTGGTCTTTAAGGCCTTCTTTATTCACTATGTCATGCTCTTAGTACATTTAAAAAAAAAAACAAACAAACCTGAGCACATCCCCTCCCCCTAATATGTATACATTCATTTATAAATAAGTAAATATACATACATGGTAGTATAGGCTCAATTTTTTTTTTTACTAATAGGGATTAAAAAGGTTTGGAGACCACTGATATTCTTAGATGGCAGTGACCAGGATGGTGAAGGGGGCTGGACAGCATGCAGATATGAGGATCAGTTACAGGAACTGGGGTGTTTAGCCTAAAACAGGAAATATCGTTAAGGGTAGTCATGAGAGAGGGAGGGTGGTGCCTATGAGACATAACATTACCTAAAGAGTTGTCACGTAGGGGCAGCTAGGTGGCGCAGTGGATACAGCACTGGCCCTGAAGTCAGGAGTACCTGAGTTCAAATACGGACTCAGACCAAACACTTGACACTTACTAGCTGTGTGACCCTAGGCAAGTCACTTAACCCCAACAAAAAAAAAAACGAGTTGTCATGTAGAAAAGGCATTAGATTTGATCTATTTACTTTTGAAGGGTAGAATTAGGATCAACGGATCTTACAAAAAGATAGATTTAGGCTTAATTTAAGGAATGTTTCCCCAGTAATTAGAGCTATTCAAAACTGGAATGGAATGCTTCAGAAAGTTATAGACTGCCCCTCACTAGAGGCTTCAAGTGAAGACTAGAGAACCACTTACTGAAAGTGCTGCAGAGAGGGCTGCTAGACAGGACTGGTCAGTCTAGATGGTCTCTGAAGTTCTCTGCAATTCGATTCTATAATTCTGGTTTCATACCTGGCCTACTATTACATAAGGCTACTGGGATGATCTACTGCTTTATAGCAAAGAATTATGAAAAGCATAAAGTATACAAATATCAGATGCTAGAATATGAATTATAAATCTCTGCATTTTTATAAGCATAATCACAATACATTCAGTTTTAAAATAGCATATACTAGATAACTGATAATGAATTCAAATCTTAGACATCAGAGATAGGCCTGCATCACCAAGAAAGTATAAATTTTAAAAACAAAACTATGGGTTTGTGCCTGTAACTTTTTCTTGCTTTTACCCTAAACAATGTTTTTTGATACTAAAGCCTAAAGGGGAAATGAAATTGGCAATTTCTAGTTTTTAACACCTACATATGAGGTGAGGAGGGATATTTCGTGTAGAAGAGGAGCCTTCCCACCAGCTTTCAAATTTTGCAAAATGAGAACTCTCAATTCCATCCTCAGACAAGGCCAAGTTTTGTGACAGTTATGCCTGAGCAATAAACTCCTGTGGCTCCCTTTTGCTTCTAGCATCAAACACAAATTCCTGTGTGACATTTAAACACACACACACACACACGCGTGCGCACGCACACGCGCACCCATCTCTGTGTGCCTTTGCACCACCTACACCCCGTTCCTGGAATATAAGATCTTTAGCAGTTTGGTCACCTAGCAACAGTAGTGAGGACCTCTTCCCTCTCTGGCTCTCAGATTCTGCAGCTGATACTCACTGCTGCTCCAAAAAGGGATAAATAGTCTAAGGAGATAAGTCACTGTCAGTCCAATGCAGGCTCTATTTCTCCTGGCTCGCCCAGGATATGGCTTCCTCTCTAAGTCTCTACAGAAGACCATTCAAGTCCTTTCTGCAGCATCTCAGCAACCCTAATCTGGGTCTGACCTGAGGCTGATAACCAGTTGAACAGATAAAAGCTGTGATTTTCTCATCAGGTAAACATGATAGAATCCAGCAATACAATTCCAGCCTTAGATCTTGAGTACATACCTCCAGTCGTGAAATGGGCTGTGGGCCAATGTTCTCTTCTTCCACAGAGGTGTCTGCACTAGCTTCAAATTGCATTTGCATGGCCATTGTCCTGATTGTTCAGTTGCTGAGAAACATAAGTATAACAACATTACAGATAACAAAGGAGCATCACTTGCAATACCTACAAATCATACAAAGACTTTCTCAAAAGCCCTCTACTGACTGCCACAGCCCTCTTATCTCTCCTCTCTTCAGCTCAGTTTCTTCAAAGAGCAGTCTTTCTATTTCTTATGAAGAGGAGCCATACCTTCCTGTGGTATTTGACACCACTAAAGACCATGTCCTCTGGACACTATCTACTTCCTTAGCTTACAGGAAGGAAACAACTTTCCTAAAAAATTCTCATGAGGTTCCACCATCCACACAAGGCATCAAGCTTCTCTTTCTCCTTAAGAAAGGAGTCTGTGCTTGCTGCCTCCACTTTGTCTCCCCTCTCTTCTTAACCTCCTGTAACCTTGCTTCCACAGCCTCATCACTCAACTGAAACTGCTTTCTCCAGAGTCACCAAGAGTAAATCAAATGGCCTTTTTAGAACCAGGAAGACAGTCTCTACTGTAACTACAACACAGTAAAGAAAGGCAATCTGAAAGACAAAAGACTTAAGAGGATCAATGCAGAGTTCAACCAAAACTCCAAAAGACAGATGATGGATTTTAATCGTATCTCCTACTTGAGAAAGTAATGAAGAACTGCAGAATGAGACATACATTTTCTGACACAGCCCATATGTGGATCCTGTTTTCTTTGACTACTTACTTGCTACAAAAGAGGAAATTTATTTATTTGTTAAGAGTGAGGGGGTTGGGAAAGAGTGGTGGTATAATAATGATGCCAAAAGACAAGAAAAAGAAAGGATAATTAATGAAATGTTTATAAACTACAACAGAAGACAGTTTAGAAACGCTGACAAACAAGTAGAACAGTAATGGAATTAACATTTTAAATGTATTATATACTTTTTAAAAACCAAGCTGTACATAAGTGAGATTCATTTTTATATGGAGTTTTTTTCAGTTCTTTATATATAGAAATGATCATATTTGTTGATGTCTAACAAATTCATAAGTAAAAAAGAATAATCTTTTGCCAATCTTCAGCCTTCTTGACTTCTCTGCAGTATTTGACACAGCTGACCATCCATTTCTTCTGGATTTTCTTTTTAGTCTTTGAATTTTCATGATTTGAATTGGGATATTCATGGATTTTCACACTGCTCTTTTGGTTCTCTTCCTGCCAATCTGTTAGCCCCGATCATTATCCAAATACTAAATACTGGAGTCTCCCAGGGTTCTCTTCTAAAAACTTTTCTCTTTTCTCCTTAGACTTTCTCACTTGGTGACCTCATCAGTTTCCACGGGCTCAATTAACATCTCCGTGCAGATGATTCCTAGGTCTACATATTTTGCTGTTGTTCAGTATCCAATTCTGATTCTTTAATGACCCCCAGGGACCATATCATGCCAATACCATCCATGGAGTTTTCTTGGCAAAGATGCTGGAATGGTTTGCCATTTCTTTCTCTAGTTCATAAAAGCAAACAGAGGTTAAGTGACTTGCCCAGGGTCACAAAGCTAATAAGTGTCTGACACCATATTTGAACTCAGGTCTTCCCGTCTAGAAGCCCAGTACTCTATTCACTGAGCTACCTAGCTGCTTGCAATTCTACATATATCCAGCCCAAATATCCCTCCTGAGCTCCAGTTTCATCTCACCAACTGCCTACTGGGCATTTTGAACTAGATGTCCCATAGGCATCTCAAACCCAACATGTCTGAAACAGAACTCTATCTTTTTCCCCAAACCCGCACCTAATCTGAATTTCCATATTACTATCAAGGGCACCTGCCCCTTCCCAGTTACCCAGATCAGTGTCATCCTTAATTTTTCATTCTCCCTCACCTGCCACATTCAATAAGATGACAAATGTCATTTCTACTTCCACAACATGTCTCACAAGTATAGCCTTCTTTTTACTCACACAGTCAGAACCCTCGTTGAGGCCCTTGTCACCTCTCACTTGGACTCAATGGCCTCTAAGGTCCCTTCCAGCCATATATATATATATATATATATATATATATATATATATATATATATGATCCTATAATTACTGCAATGGTCTCATCATCGGTCTTCCTGACTTTTCCCACCTCACAGATGCCAGACTGATTCTCCTAAATTATAGAACTGACCATGTCACCCATCTACTCAATAAATTCCACAGGCTCTCTATTACTGATAGGATCATATACAACATCATATGCTTGGCTTTTAGTAATAACAAACGTTTACATAGCACTTTAAAGTTTGCAAAGCACTTGCTACATATCTCATTTTAAATTCTTTACAACCTGGCCCATTCCTACCTTTCCAGTCTCCCTGCACGTTATTCTCTATGTTAGCCTATATGTGGTTTCTCACAAGACGGCTCATTTCATATCTTTAGTCTGTGTCCTTTAACCCGCTGTTACCCAGGAATGATTTCCCTTCTCATCTCCACCACTTGAAAACAACACAAGACTTCCCTGGGATTTCCTTCAAGACTTAACTCAAGGGACATGTTCTGCAGGAATATAAAGCAAACCTTGAAGTACTGTATAAATGCTAATTGTTATTATCTGCTGTGTCTGTGTCTTTTTTTACTACATACCCTAAATATGTGTAGATGGTCCTCTCCCTCAGAAGGTAAGCTCCTACAAGGCAGGAACTGTTTAATTTTTGTTTTGCTTCTCCAACACCTAGCACACTGCCAGGCACATAATAGGTACTTAATAACTGCTAGTTAATCAGTTATCCAGAAGTCTCTTGTCTGTTTCACTACGTCCTAATCTTCCCCCCACTCCTTAAGCATCGATACTCCCCAAAGTTGTATCCTCCCTCCTTTTACTATTTCTACACTTTCTCCTGTGGTGATCTTATCAGCTCCTATGGTTTCAGTTATCACGCCAAATCAATATTAAGTCATGTTCGTTCCCTAGAATTTCAGCCCCACATCTCCATCTGTTTCCAGGGAACCTCCATCTCCATGATGCTCCACTGAGCTTGAAGATCAATAAGTCCAATAAGCTCCCCTCCAAATCTGTCTTTCTTCCTCACATCCCTATTTATGCTAATGGCATTACCATCCTCCCCATCACCCACGGCTCAATTTTGCTGTCATCTTTGACTCTTCCCAATTCTTTACCCTCCATATCCAAATCATCTGCAAGTTTTACAGATTCTATTTCCATAATATCTTACATTCTTCTCCTTTCCAGGAACACTGCCACCACCCTAGTCCAAGCCTTTGCCACTTCCTACAGGAAGTCTTTCACTGGTGTTTTCCTCAAATAATGTACTATTTACTGATCTGTGCTAAGTGTTGCATCCTCCTGTGCTGTGCCTCCCCCCACCCTCCCCCAAGGATAAAAGCAACGTAAAGGCAAGGGCTATTTTTTAGTTTCATCTCTGTATCCCCAATGCCCTAGGCAGTGCCTTACACTTAATACAAACTAGGTAAATGAATGAACTCTCAACTGAATACCCTCTTAAACCATATTCCTTCCCTCCCCTCTCCAATCCTACACACATCTGTCAAAATAATTTTCCTTAGGAACAGATATAACTATGTTATACCCTTACTCAAAAAAATCTTCAGAGGCTCCCTACAAGGTGTAATTCTACTGGATTGCCTGGAAGATAAAATACACACCCCAAAACCTGACCTTTAAAGCCTAAAACCTACCCTTCCAGGTATTTGCATTGCTCCTTTCCCCTCCTGTTACTTTCCAGCAACGTTGATCTCCAGGCTGTTCCCTAAAACTTGACACACCTTATGACTTTGAGCATTTGCACAGGCTGCCTATATCCCTGAAAGTCCTTCTCTTCCTCCCGGGCTCAACTCGGCTGCTACCTCCATAGCTGTCACTGATTCCCCTCATTGAACATATTTTAACTCCTCAAATTTTCCTAGAGCACTTGTCTGGATGTCTCCTTTCCTCCATTAGAACCTATTTTGTATTATATTTGACTGGATACATATTATATCCCTCCAGGACAGCAGGAACTGTGTTTTTTTTTAACCCAGTTTTATGACTTTCTACATGATTACATGCTGCTCTCCTCCTCAGTTACTCATTTGCTTCTATTCAATTTAACCCATAAGAAAGGAAGTGACGATATTCTCACTATCCTTGCAGTGAGAGAGCACATTTGAAAGGTAAAAACTGTCCGTACTGGAATTGTTTCCCAGTGGTAAAGCTTTATTACTGCAAAAGCAAAAGGAACCAAGCAGTGTCAGGAGACTGGATGAGCAGAGAGTTGGGGGTTTTATGGGTACAAGATCAGGAAGTGGGTGGCTTGATCCCTCCCAGGAGAGGGATAAGGAAGGGATAAGATCTGAGTATGCAGTCAGCAACTGCATGCCAGGAGGGCTTCGATTTTTACATATTTATGGGATGTTAATGGTGGCTTTGACATTAGTCACATAGGTTACTATTGGGCAGTGAAAAGTTTCATTGCACTTGGCAGTCTTGGGAAAATCCCTAGACCACAAGGGCCACTGGTGATGGGGTGGGCCAGGGGTGGTGTGGCTGCCTGCTCAGGATGGGGGTGGGGGGGTAAGATAGGGCCTCATTTTTCCAAGGGAAGGGTAGGACCTTGCTGTTCCCACTCCATCCTGGCATAATCAATCAAATAGCATTTATTAGGCCCCTATATATCTCAGGCACTATGCTAGAAGCTAGAATAGTAGGAAAAAATACTACATTTGGAGACGGAAGATCTGACTTGAAACCCTGGTTCTACCAACTTACTGTTTGTATGTCCTTGTGCAAGTTACCTCTCTAGGCCCCAATTTCCTTATCTAGAAAATGAGGGGACTGAACTCTGAGGTCCTTCCCAGCTCTAAATCTAAAATCCTATGACCTGACCACGGCACTTCCTAGTTAATAGCCTTCTCAAAAATCTTTAGTAGATCCTTATTGCTTCTGAGAGAAATACAAAAAGCTTAGTAAACTATTTAAAGTCTTCCACAATCTGGTTCTCATCTACCTACCTTTTGATTCATTTCCTATTACTCCCCTAACTCCTTCTTCTCACTCTCTGTTCTACTCAAACAAGCCTTTTAGCTGGTTCCTGTCCTGATATTCTATCTCCCACCTCTATGGTTTTGCATGGGTATTTCATATCTGCAATACCCTCTAAGCGCTTTTTTAGGATCACTTGCTTCCTTCAAGGCTCACCTCTTCTATGAGGCCTTTTGTGTTTTCCCCTCTCTGCCACAGTTCTCAACTTTCCCTCCTGAAATTACTTAATACAAATTTTTTATTTGTTGATCTGTGTTCTATCTTTCTACCCCCCACCAAAATGTAAGCTTCTTAACAGCAGGGACGGTTTTTGTTTTTTGTCTTTGCATTCCTAGAACCTAGAAAGGGTCGTTAGTGTCTTACACATAGTAGATATTTCATAAATGTGAACTTTAATCCTAAAATCCCCTCCAGTTGTATATCCTAAGAAGTTGGCTGGCAGAGTCAGAAATGGAAGAATAATCACAATGTGATAAAAATACGCTTTCATGATAAAGAATATGCCAAAATCTTGTGAATTCAATGCCAAATTATATAAAACAAGTGATTGCAGCAAATGTGCTGCATATTTTTAAATGTGTAAAATGTTGTAAGGTTTATTGTGTAAGGCAATTAATTTACTTTACGTTGTCTCAAATAATCTGCAGATTACAGTAGCTAACATCACCCATAACTATGCTATCACCATGACCTCGAACTCTAAAATTCTTCAGATCATAACCACTCATCCTCCCAGCTACATTCTTCCTTTAACTTTTTCTCCATCCTCACTGTGAGCTCCAGTCCCTCTATTTCATCCACTCCTTCCAATCTAGTACTTCTGCTCTGACACTATGACTGACAAGTTCAACAACATACTACCTTTCCTAAATACCTTGCCCTTTGTCCTATTTGCCTATTGCTGTGAAGCTTGACAAAACCCAACCCCAGATTACTCTCACTGTTTGTTTTCTCTGCATATGAATAATATATTGTTGAATGCTGTCAAATAATTGTGCCAACTAGGTCAACTATTATTGTTATCTAAACTCACCTGTGCCTTTACCATAATCCTTTATTCTTCCAAAGTTGTCTTTTTATCACACTCGCTACAGTGGCCATACCAAATCTTTTCTTCTCTCAAGCTCCATATACTACCTCTTTCCTCTCTCCTCTCAGCAATCTCAGCAGAGTACCTTGCCTCTTTACTGAGAATAGAGGACATCCAACCTAAATTTCCTTTTTCTTCCTTACTTCCACACTTGGAAATCCCTCTACATTCTCTCTCTCTCTTTTTTTCCTTTGCTCTAGTCTCCAAGGAAGAAGCGTACCTTCTTGCTAAAACCATCCCCTTTACTCATATCCCTACCTGCTCTTTTAATCATTCACTCATTTTCAAACACCATCAACCAGCACTTACTTAAATGCTAAGCACCATACATGTCCTAACATGTTGTATGGCTCCCTGATGCCTACAAATATGCCTAGGTGTCCCCTTCCAATCCTTTAAAAAAAAAAAAACCTTTCCAATAATCCTTGCAAGCTATTATCTTCTATTTCTTCACCCTTTCACAAATTCCTGTAAAGACTCATTTCTAGCCCTTAATATTAAGGATCAAACCATTAAAGATATTAGAAGAGAAGCAGATCATATACTTTTCATAGGCATGGGTAGGCAATATATCTTCAATCAAAGTGACTGAAGCAATTACGAAAAATAAAATAGATAACTGATTACATGACACTGAAAAGCTTCAGCACCTACAAAACTAAAGCACCTAGACTAAGAAGGGAAGAGGTCAGAGGGGGAAAAAACCCTCTATCAAATTTCTCTAAGGGCTTTGTATCCAAAACATATAAACAATCAACAAATATAGATAAACAGATAGAGAAGCAGATATATGACCAACAGACATATGACCCCAGTAGATGAGTGGTCAAAGGACGTGAACAAACAGCTCTCTAAAGAGCTACAAACTATTAACAGCCACATGAAAGAATGCTCCAAATCACTAATAATAAGAGAAATGTAAATCAAAATAACCCTGAGGTTTCACCTCACACTTTGCAAAATTGGCAAAGATGACAAAAGGTAGGAATATCTTCAGTGTGGGAGGGGCTGCCGGAAGATAGGCATCCTAGTGCATTGTTGGTGGAGCTATGAATCAGTACAACCATTTTGGAAATAATTTGGTATTATACAAATAAAGTGACTAAAATATCCATACCTTTTAACCTAGAGGTTCTACCACTAGGTTTATACCCCAGGCCAAGAAGGCCACTGATAAGAAGAAAGCTCCATACACAACAAAATTTATAGTGACACTTTTTGTGAGAGCAAAGAAGTGGAAACAAAGTAGTAATCTATTGGGAAATGGCTAAAAAATTTTGGTACATGAATGTAATGGAATATTACTGTGCTATACGAAATGAAGAATGTGATGAGAAGCATATAGAGAGGCACAGAAAGATGTACATGCACCGATATAAAATGAAGCAAAGTCAAGAAAACATACACAATGGCTACAACAATGTACACATACACACACACACACATATTGCGAAATTACAAAGGACAAGCATGGCTTGAAAGAAGAAATATGAGAAAACATTTCCACCCTACTCCTTTGCACAAGTGGGATGTCTACAAATATTGTATATTGTGCATATTTTCAGACTTTTTTGTTTTATGGATCAGTTATGTTGATTCCCCCCCTTTTTTTCCTTTTAAAATACCATTGGTTACATGAAATAGCTTTATGGGATGGTTGTTGGGGGTACTATTATGATGTAAAAAAATATCAATGAAAACTCATTTTTAAAAAGTCATTTCCACTAATTGCCTCAATGTACTCATGTCTCACTTAACCCCTTGCAATTTGGCTTCCTCACCCTGATAGAAACTGTTCTCACCTAGTGACCATAATCTCTGAACTACTAATTCCAATCATCTTTAACACATGTTACTAATGCACTACCCGTCTGCCAACACTCTATATTGTAATTATGAGATATGAACGTGTACAGGAGGTATAGTAAAGAGCAAGGGACAGAATGTCCAAGGTGGTACCCACAGAATCTTAAAAGACCCCAAAGAAGTCCTCCACTACATTCTGTAAACCTTTCCAACAATTTATGAAAACATAGCCAAGAATCCTATGGAATGAGAAAATATGTCTGGATAGTGATCTACAGTACCACTGGTGGAAATATTTGCATTAATGAGACCACAGATCCACAAAAGATTAATTATCTACTTATCCTATACTCCTATTACACTGTAAAATGCACTAACTCGGGGACGAGTTTCATCTAAACTTTCCTTCTCCACAGCACCTCAATTTTGCACATAATAGGTGCTTAATTAGTGTTTGTTGAATCTAATGAAAGGTGTATTGGGAAGATCTAGAACAAATTAACAATCCCCACACGGAGAAAATGGAAAAATCTCACAAAAATACATTTGGATAAATCAAGCAATAAGGCTGGTTAAACCCGGTAGAAGGTACAAGATCTCAATGTCTGTAAGTTACAGTCATTACAAAAAAATGGATCAGCAAAAGCGGGACAAGTTATACAATAACAACATAATAAAGACAAACCACTCTGAAGGACTTAAGAATCCTGATCCACGAAAAAACCAACCTCGATTCCAGAGGACCCACCTACTGACAGTGAGGTAAAGGGCTCCGGGTGCTGACATATTTTTGGCCACGGTCGAAGAGGGAAATTTGTTTTGCTTCGTTATGGATAATCGTCACAAGGCCTTCTTCCCCCCCCCCCCATCCCTTCCATGGGGGTGGGAAGAAGGAGTGGCCAAGAAAGGGTGTTTTTGTTAATAGGGGAAAAAAAAAAAGCTAAAACGACAACAAACGGATACAGACGCCATCTGCCCTGGACAGTTTGGATAAAGCTTCGGGGGCCCGAGAACCTTATGAAATTGCTCGAGGCCCAGAGATACTTAATTTACTGTCAGGGGCTGAGGGCCGGAATCCCCGATCTACCGCTCGCCACAGCTCTGGGCCTCAGTTTCCCAGTCTGTCGAGGAAGGGGGCTGCACTAGAGGACTTCCCCGGCCTCTCAGCTTTCCAGCTGGGATGCCGCCAGCACCTGGCCTCGGGGTCCGGGTACCACAGCCGGGAGCCCCGTCCCGCGTACCGAGGGGCAAAGTCGGGGGTGGGCGCCGCCGGAAGGACGGCCCGCTCGTCCGAGGAGTCCCGGGGAGGGGGTGCCTCACTCACTCACCTCGACTACCGTCCGCGAGCTTCGGTTCCGGTCCCGTCCGATCCCGCCCCCAGCGCGCGCTCTCCCGCTCACTTCGCCGGCGGATGCCGAGTTCGGAAATCCCGCTAAACTCAGAGCTCCGAGGTTACGTCGGGGTCACGCACGCGCCGCACGGCCCTCCCTCCCCCTTGTGCTGTGCCGTTCCCGCCCTCCCTCAGTCGCCGGTGACTGGCGCTTCGGTAGTCCATGTTGTCTTTTAAACTAGAGAACTTAAACCGCAACCGTCATCCGCCTGCACCAGTGCAGCAGAGACCCGAAGCAAAAGTCAGGGCTGGGGAATGCTATGCACTTCCCCGTGCCCCTCCCAAAGTGAACGACTACAACTCCCAAGAACTAAGCAGTGGGCACCGGCTAGGACTGTAGCTCCCAGCATGCAATGGGTCCCACATGGAACTACGAGTCCCAGAATGCATTGCCGCAGACTGCCCTTTTAAAGATGTTAGCTCTTTCCCCCCACCACCACCTTACCGGGGTTGGGCCCAGCGAGTCGGTACTTGGGGTGTTGGTTGTGCCCGCGTTTCCAACAGGGAAAGGCCCACAACTAGGTTTAACAACTGCTTGCAAATTGGGGGAAGAGGGAGACGGTGAGGGAGCATAAGGAATCGATGGTACTGAGGTTGTAAACCTAGGTGGAATCGGAGGGTGTCAGAAGAGGGCCGGGCTTCGGGGAAAGGCAACAGGTGTGTTAGAATTACGTTGAGTGTGAGATGCTCGTGGGTGCTCCAGCTCAACATGGCGGGCCTGGCGCTCGAGATCGAGAGACAAGGGATTAGTTAGCTACCGGGTGTCCCAGAAGTCTTAGTGCGTTTAAGTGGCGGTGGTGTTTTGTTTTGTTTTTAAGTGCATATAAGCTCCATAGCTTAAAACGACACTACATTTTTTTTGGAACACTCGGTAGATCTGAGAGTCATCTTCAGAGAAATGATAGTTGAACCTAAGGGAGCTGATAGCGTCATCAAAGGAGAGATTAATGAGGGGAAAACGGCGGAGGTTTTTTTTTTGGGGGGGACGATCCCGCAGTTAAGGGGCATGGATAATAAAAGCGTCAAGGAGATAATCATGTCATGGACTCTTCACTGTCAGTTACCCAGTGTATATCCAGTTGTCAGTTGCCATACCTTCACCTTTCTTTCTCCATTGTCCACCTTCTGCTCCCCTCTCTACCCTCACACAGCCATCACCCCACTTCAGGCCCTCGCCCCCTCTCACCTGGACTACTGCAGCGTAGCCTCGCATTTGGTCTCCCTGCCTCGAGTCTCTGCTTTTTCAAAACCATTCTCCAAGGCAGTGAAGTAGGGGTCTGTTCTTCTGACTCCCCAGTTCAAAAAACTCTAGTGGCTGCCTCTTGTAGGGCAAAACACAAACTGGACAGTCAAAGGGGTTTTAAAGCCATTCACAATCTAGTTCTTACATTTTTCCAGGCTTATTGAGCCTTACCTTCATACACACAGCTGTTAAAAGTGATTTTCCTAAATCATTTCCCACCTGGCTGATTTCCTGACTTCCTCGTTGTCTCCAATGACTCATCTTTCTGAAAGATTGCATAAATTCTGAAACTCACACCTCCTCAGTTCTCAGTAATTCACACCACACTCAGCAGTCACACTCAGCACCCCCTGGCCCCGGGACCTCTCCCTCCCACTGATTGTATTTGGTGGAGGGCGAACATGGGAAAGCTCCTTCCAGATCCTCCATCTGGGCTAGCCCTGGGCAGTTGTCTCCTAGCTGCAGGTATCCTTCTTTCCCACTTGACTGATTAATGACCGACTAAAGGGTTTGTGTTATTCCCTTACTCCATAAACTACAGTGTGTAATTATTTCCAAGATAAAATTGAAAAAGGATCATGGGAGCTTTCAGTCTGGTTTGCAGCTCTATCTTTCGGTAGGTATTGTCTCTCCTATTAGAATGTGAGCTCCTTGAGAACAAACACTGACTGTCTTTGAAAAGCTTTGCAGATAACAAGCCCTAAAAGCTTTATTCATACATCCAGACTTCTCTGTTTGGCATTTAAATACCTTCACAACCTGGCCTCCACCCACCTTTCTGGCCTTTTTATGCATACTATTTTGTCCAGTCTATCTAGCCTTATTACTCATACAGCGCTATGGCTTCCATCTCCTTGCTTTTGCATTGGTTGCACCCAGTGCCTGGGACACACACCCTCTTCACTTCTGCCTCTTAGAACCCTCAGTTTCCTTCAAGGCTCAGATCAAAGGCCATCTTCTACTTTAGACTTTTCCTTATTCTGCTCCCCTCCCCCAAATTACCTTGTATTTTCTATACATGCAAAATATCTCTTCCCAACTAGATTGTGAACTCCTCAAGGGAAGGAACTGTTTTATTTCTGCCTTTGTATCCCCAGTGTCTTAACCATATTGGGCATGAATGCTTGTTGATTGATTTATGATTCCACAAAAGAGATTGCAAAGGAATGGCCAGACAGGTAGGTGAAGAATCACTAGATATCTTTTTTTTTTTTGGCAATTGGGATTAAGTGACTTGCCTAGGGTCACACAGCTGGTACTCATCAAGTGTTTGGTATGAGGTCATATTTGAACTCAGGTCCTCCTGACTTCAGGGCCAGTGCTCTATCCACTGTGCCACCTAGCTGCCCCAAGAATCAATAGATATCTTGAAAACCCAGAGAACAGAGAGTATTCTCAAGAAGAGTATAATCAGTGATGTCACATGCTGAGATCAGGACTGAGAAAAGGCCTTTGAGTTTGATGGTTTCGTCTTTTAAGAGATTAATCTTGGATCTCATTCTTTCCAATTTCTGAGGAAAATTGCCCATTTCTTATCCCCTCTCTTTAATTTTCAATCTGTTTTTCATGGGCTTCTTGCCTACTGTTTGCAAACATGTCCCCATTTTTTCCCATTGTTAGGAATCCTTCACTTGATCCTTCATCTCTCTAGATATCATCCTAGAAAAAGATGTCTACATGCACTGCTTCTTCAAATTCTTGAAGTCTGGCTTTGAACTTGCATTCAATTAAAACTTCACCGTATAAGGTTCTTAGTGATCTATTAATTGCCCAACCTGCTGCCTTTACCTTTAATGACACTGAAATATTTTCCATTGTTAATGACCTCCTGGACAATATTCTCCCTGGGTTTTATGACACTGTTCTCTCTTGGTACTCTTACCAGTCAGGTATTTCTTCAGTTCTCTTTGCTGGACCATTCTTCATGTCTAGCCTCCTATGTGTGGGTATACTGGAGGACTTACTTTGTCTCAGCCCCTCTTCTCTTTTTATACTTCCTCTCTTGGTGGTCTCATCAGCTCATATGGGTTCAGATGTCACTTCTAGACAGACAACTCTCAAATTTATCTATCCAACCCAAGTGTCTCCTGATCCACAGTGTCATAGGGCCAACTATAACACCTTCAACTGGATATCTGTTAGGAATCTCAAACTCAACAATGTCCAGAAAGAACTCATTATCTTTCCATTCAAACCTACTCATATTCTGAACTTCCTTCTGTTGAAGGCAACACTCTTTTTCCTGTCAAACAAATTTTTCAGTGTTAGGTTCATTCTTAACCTTTCCCTCTTCATTGGACCCTCCAATGCAATGAGTTGCCAAGTCTTGTCAATTCTGTCTACATATATATTCTTTCTACTCACAAGCCAGCACTCTACCTTAGGCCCTCATTACCTCCCATGTTGACTATGATAATAACCTTTTAACTGTTCTCCCTGCCTCAAGTCTCCACATAGATGCCAAAGAGATAGCCTTAAAATTAGAGGTCTGGCCCTGTCATTTGCTAGTTCCAAAAACTTCAGTGGCTCTCTCTTTAAGATAAAATACAAACCTGCCTGTTTGACTTTTAAAGCCCTTGTGATCTGGCTCCAGACCTTTCCACCATCATTTGCACATTACTCCCTTTCACACACTAAGTTGAATGAGTGCATGACTGAAAGATAATTTATTAGGTGCTTGCTATGTGCCTAACATTTTACTAAGCTCTGAAGATATACATAAAAAGTATCAAACTGGCCAAATTGCTGTTCCCTGAATGGTACACTTCATCCTCTCCTTACATTCCTTTGCATGGCTGTTGCCCATGCCTGGAATGCCCTCCCTCCTTACCTCCACCTTGTAGAATCCCAATCTTCCTTCAAAGTTCATACCAATTATTATCTCCTAGCCATATGGCTCGGTCCAGCCATTCCAGAAAACAATTTGGAATTGTACCCAAATAGTCACTAAATTGTGCATACCCTTTAACTCAGGGATACCACTTACTAGACATATACCCCAAAGATATCAAAGAAAGAAGAAAAAGATCTGAAAGTTCAAAAATATTTATTTTTGTTATACCAAACAATGGGAAACTGAGGGGATGCCCATCGGCTGGAACTGGTTGAACAAATTTTGGTGTTGTGAATGTAATAGAATATTATCTTGTTTAAAAAAATGACAAAAGGGATGGTTTCATAAAAACCTAAGAAGATTTGTGTGAACTGATACAGAGTAAAGTGAATGGAACCAGAACAATTTATCCAGTAACATTAGTATTGAAAAAACAAGCGACTTTGAAAGACTTAAGAACTCTGATCAAAACAATTACCAACCGTAATTCCAGAGGACTGAAGATGAACCACGTTACCTTCTTCCTGAGAAGGAGGTGATGGCCTCAAAGTAAGAGTGAGACATGTATTTTCTGATGAGGCTAAAATAGGGATTTGTTTTGCTTGACTTACACATATTTATTACAAGGGTTTTTTCTTTTTTAACTTGTGAGGGAGAAAGCGGAAACAGGAAATACCAATAGGATTACTTTAAAAAGAAAAAAAAGTCATTGGAGCATTTTTTAAAAATTCACAGAAGGGAACAAAAGGAAGGCCAGAAGGAAACACAGACAGGGCAGTTTTGAAAGTTAAATGTTCAATTTGTCATATATTTAGAAGGAAAAGCAAGCTATACATTGTTTAGATTTGTATGGTTTCATATGTTTCATGGTTTTTTCCTGTTCCGTGATGTATGTGGAAATGCTCAGTTTATTGGCTTCAGAATAAAAAATAAATTTTTTTAAAAGCACAGAAAACAAAGGAAGTTCAGAAGGAAACCTAGACAAGCTGGACAGCTCTGAAAGTAACTTGTTGGATTTAGTATATACTTTAAAAAAAAAAAAGCAAGCTACATGTAATAGAGATTAGAAGTTTCATATATAATCCTCTTTTCCTGTTCTATTTTGCATGTGGAAGTATTCTTTTTGGGGGTGTTTGTGAAGTTCAGAATAAAAAATAAAATTTTTAAAAAATCAATTGCCACCTCCTTCAGAAAGCCTATCTGATCCTCTCATTTGCTAGTCCTAGT